CATGATTGGTAATGAGAGCTTCCATTTCATTTTTTGAAATTGGGGCGTTTCCAATACTGGTCTTTACCTATAAGTTTATCTGTTACTCTAGTAGGCTTCAGGATGTATGAATGAGGTATGAGTCTGACATAAATTTATTTAAGCGAGGAAAACTTTCGTCGATGTTCAAGAATGAATGGTGTAGCTCCAGGCAAAGAAGATGACGCCATTCTTTACAACACCTTCCCAATATTGATGGCATTATTCTCTTTTATATCCTGCATCAAAAATTTGTTGGCTTTTGATTGGTTGAGAGCTCGTCACATGACCAGAAATATTTGACCTATTTTTAGAAAGTACTATATGAGAGTACTATTTTGGTTTACTATTTGGGAGTTGAAAAAAAAATGTGAATTTTTTTTTTTAATTGAATCCATTTTATTTTTCAAATCTTAATTTAATGAAAACAAAATACTTTAAATCTTTTTAGATAAAAATTTACATTTTTTTTTTTTTTAAATAAATTTGTGATGCAAGATATAAAACAAATATACCATGCCTTCTATTCGAGGTACTGGTTAAACTATGGGCCTCGGAGACTCCAAAAGTACCGTTTGCTTCGGGGCTGCGCCCCTCAGCAATGTACTATTGGAGTCACCTCTGGCGCATAGTTTTAACCAGAACCTCTCAAGGCAGTGTTTATTTGTATACTATGTTATGTTCACTCATCGAGTTTGATCTTTGGACTTTAAGATGAACTACTTAATATTATTAGGTCGACTTGAGTCCTATAATAAAGGGAACGACAAAGATATGGCAAACAAACAACAAATAATGGGGAGTGACTTCGGCATAATGTGATGTTTTGCTTTGAAATCATAGAGGCTGTTCACACCGGCAGAGATAGCGCGCGCTAGACCGCGCTATCTCTGCGGTTTGCAAGGTACAACGTCGTTTCGGTCCGCCCAACAGCGAGCCACGGCGAGCCAAAACGGCGTGCCACTGGAGCACCTCTTGGGGGTGGTCCACGAGAGAGAGAGCGCGGTCTAGCGCGCGCTAGAAAAAAGGGGGTGCGGTGTGAACAGCCTAATAGAGGCCTACAGCGACTGAAATTTTGTCAAAGAAGTTGCATGAATGCATCTTTCAAGCGTAAAAGGTTAGGAAGAACTGTTTTTCTTTATAATTCTCACTTGCCTCTTTGAAAGAAATAAAACAGTGCTTTTTGATAGACAAAGTATGTCAAGGCTATATTGGGTCATTGCAGTCCCAGCCCGTCTTCATTAAAAAATCTTGGCTGGTCTAACTTGAGTCTCAAGCAGTGCTTTTCTGGTAGTTAATATACAGCCACGAATAGATACTCTCGAAAGTAACTTTTGATAGGGCTTTCATTTGTCATTTAGAATAACAACTTTAGTTCATGACGCTGTCAAGCTGGATAAAAGTCGAAAGATGGCTTGTTGTTTTGTCAAAAGACGGAACGCTGTGGTAGTATTTTTGATTTTCCTAATGACGAGTTTCTCGCGAGGTATCGATAGATCAGTGGGAATCTTCCAGAGTGAGCTTCGTGAGGACTTGGGATTGACTACGAGCGAGTTGGGGCTTGCGGCGGGGTTCGCCATAGGATTCGTTTATTTCTTTGGTAAGTTGAGGCGGGTAATCGAAATATATCAAGAGTGACGATGAGGGGATCGGCCCCTTCATTGTTTTTAAATTCCGTAAAAATGAGTAAATGGCGTCGTAGTTGGCGTCGTAGATAATAGGGACTTTTAGATTTGCCGAACGACAACGTGGATTGCTACGATCGACGTCCTTTTAATGCACTGCCTTGAATGGACGTCACAGGTATCAGGCTATTAGGCTCCTTCAAGCCATTTATTTCGTCATGTAGTCAAATTTAATGTACAAATTCTTGCTAAGTGCCTCGTTACAAATTATTTCATTCACCTGTTATGATTAATTGTATAATAATGTTTGTGTCACCTAGAAACGATTAATGTATACAATTAGCATTCTGACTATTGAAATACAATTAGTCATAACGGGTACATGAAATAATTTGTAACGAGGCCGCTTTTTAAAAGTACTATGTTCCATTTGCAGGCCCAAAAAATGAAAAGGTGGGGTTGGAAAATGTCTTCGATCAAGTGGGAAAATAACGACCATTAGTTGTCAAATCGACTTAGGAGCTATAGAGCCAATAAGTAATAGTCTTGATTTTCAGACGGCCGAATGGTCTTACGTTTTATGCTGCGCAAAGATTCAATCAGTTTAATTTTGGCCATCACAAGAAGTGGGTTATTGATGTAGACAAATGCTCATGTACCCTATATACAGCTCATTTTATGTATGTTATTACCAAAGAAGAAAAAGGCCAGTCAGTCACTCAATAGTGTCTGCATGACAGTGAAGTCTAGCAAGTAAACGGGTTTCCTTGCATATTTTGAATATTAGGACACTGCTAACGTTTAAATTTCACAGATAGGACATACAAGACATAATTATTCATAATTCCTGCAAAGTTCTAGAGGATTTGAGGTTGGCTGCATAAGGGACATAGTACCTTTAACATAAATGTGTGCATTAAATTTGATTACATTACGAAATAAATGGGTTTATGGAGCCTATAATGGCTTGTCCTACCTGGTCCCACCTGCATGGTCCTACCTAACAACAATTAGGACTTTTCGATTTGCACGACGAGAACGTGGACCACAACGTGTGACATCCTTTTAGGCCACTCCAGTACCTTTAATTTTGTTTACAACATACTTTGTAAAACAATGTTTACATAATTCATGTGTAATGTTATCGATCTTGTGTTATATTGTTATATTTTATGTAATCATGCTTGATACATTATGTTTTACTTCTTATTATTTTTTTTGTTAATAAACTCAAACTCAAGAAACTCAAGACTCAAGAACTGGTATATTGCCTTGCCGGGCTCATTGCAGGAAGATAACGCAATCGAAATTACTCCTCGTGTGCAATATGAGTAATATACCTTTAATATACGTCAGGCATTATTCAAATGATTTAATATATTATTTCGTCTTCTAGCTCCATTCGTGATTCTAGGATATCGACAGCTGGGAAACCCAAGACTAATCATCATGGTGGGAGCTATTTGTACAACATGTGGAACGATTTTCTCTTCTCTTTCCTTGACTCCGGTGATATTTTGTCTATGCTTTGCTTTATTGGGTAAGACATCCGATCCATTGTTTAGTTTTATATAATACTTCTTTGGCATGTAGTTTTGGGCAACGTTTCACGAAACCGCCATAATTACAAGAACAAGGACATCACATTGAAACGCGTGTATGGAATTAAAACTCGCATAATTATAAGACATAATTTATAAAGACACGTTTTAATGAGATGGCGGTGAACTTGTTATACCACGGGTTCGTGAAACGGTGCCCATGCTTCTACAAACCTTTCAAGAAGGCAAGCTTTCATTCACCCCTGTCGACTTTTATTTTCAGTCCAAGTGAGTCTTCTGCAGCTTCTCTGCCTTTTCAAAGCTACTTTTAATTATTTGTATTGGGTACGTGTCCGTGGACCATTAATCAGGACGTTTCACATAACTTGTCATCAGTGACAATTAATGACGGTTTTTGTTATAAGCTACTAAAATCCTTGCTTCTGATTGGTTATCAGCAGATTTGTCACTGATGTTTGTCATTAAAAAAGGGCTTTGTGAAACGCCCCCAGGGCTTTTCTTATTGGCTGCATCGGTGATATGTCACTGTGACGTAGTACCAGACAATTTTCTCATTCTCACATCAAACCTGTTATTTCCCTGCGTGATTCTGAGAGATTGAAAATATCTCACAACATGAAAGTAGTTTTTTTACAACGTATTTTTTCTAATTCCTTTGTGTACTCAGAACAATGAGTATGTTTTATGTTTTTTAATTATATTAATGCGCTTTGTATCTATTCGGAAGCCGATTTATAAAGGAATTTATTATTCTTATCATGTATCATTATTATGATGATTTTGGTAGAGCTGTCGTGTTCTAGTTGATACGTCACCGGATCGTTTATGTCCTTTGGCAAGACAATATGTTTATCTACATTTGCCATTCTCCACCCAGGTGATAAATGGGTACCTGGTAGAGTAGGAACATTACCGTGGTTGGATTGGTATGTGCGCATGCGCTTGTATAATGGCGTCTGACCGGGACTCCCCAGGGAGCGGAGCGGCATGTGCGGAGTAGCAACTATATTCAATAACCACGGGGTAATATTAATTAAAATAGTAAAGCGCTTGGACACGTAGTAAGCTTTTAAAGGCATCGTTTAACAATGTTAAATCTGAGATGCACGGCCCTACGTGTTATCAGTGTCTGTTATGGTATAATATTGAAGCCCTAAAAAAAAATCACGCTTCAAATTGATCAAGAAGTGCCTCAAAAAGTAAAAAATCTTTGAGTGACCGGTTTGTCCATACTCGTTTTCCCCAATAGACTGTAATGTTATGAAACCGTTTGGCAAACGCAAAATTTGGTTTCGATTTCCAATCATAAATATCTTGATAATCAGACAGCCGATAGGCTTGTAAAAGTCATGGGGCTCTTGACTGACCTAAAGGTTTATAATTATCATTGCAGCATGAGCTAAATCCAGGATTTTGTTTCAGAATCTGATCCCTGTGACTATTATTATTATTTTGTTCTTTAATAGGACTTGGTAGCTCTTTGGTTTTCGTCTCATCTGTCATCGTCCTCAAGGAGGTTGCAGAGGAACGATTCGACGTAATGTACGGGATAGCTACATCCGGGTTTGCCTTTGGAACCATCTTTGTACCCATTGCAGCTGAATATCTGCAGTCGATCTACGATTGGAGGGGTGCTATGTTGATACTAGGTGGACTATCCGCAAACATCATCCCGTTCGTTATCGCAATTGGACCTTCAATAAGGGCTCATGTAAAAAGTACAAAAGAAGATACGATGTCGGAAGACAGCGGGACGGAAACTGGGGTATACAGCTCGAGTGACAGTAATTATTCTTCAAATTTTTCGGAGTCATCGCCCAATTCAACAGACGACGAAGAATCTATAGGAAATAAAAAGTTACAAAAGAGTCAAATAAAAGAAAGGCCAAGGCTGTATTCTGAGGATGAGATAGGTCTTCATAGTGATTACAGGTCAAAGGACTGCGCCAAACCGAACAATCGGGCGACAAGGATTCAAATCGAAGAACAAACCCTAAGATCTTTTTCATCGGAAAAAATGAGAACCGGGAAGGATAGTAGAAGTCACAAAAGAATACCAAGAAGTTACGAATGCTTCAATAAACTGTCAGTAATTTTTGAGAGCTTTAGAAGTCTTTGGGAGCCCTGTCTGGTGGTTTTATTTGTGGCGTACTTCGTGGTGGGCATGGAGATCGTAGGATGGCGCTCCTTATTCGTTCCACGAGCCATTCACATGGGTCTGTCACTGACCCACGTCAACATTCTGAACCTGACATCTGCTTTTGCCAACTTCATTAGTCGTCTCACGCTTGGATTGGTTATGAAGAAATCTGGGAATTCAAGCACGGTTTTCCTTTGCTTGGTGATCCTGGAGGGACTTTCAAAATTGCTCGACGTCTTTACTCTCCAGTTTCCGGTGATGCTGGTCTGTTCCTTTCTCTCCGGAATCGCGTTGGAAGGGATGGCCATTTTGCCGATTATCCTTGGAGCAGAACTTTTGTTGGTGCCTGCAGACTTTGATATCCTCTTCGTGACCCTCGAACTGATGCATGGTGCAGGGTTTTTGGCAGGAGGAACCATTTCAGGTAACACTTCTGAAACAACTTTAATCCTTGACTAACCCTGGATAACTAGCTCCTGAACAACTACTCCCGAACAACCGCCCACCCCTGATAAATATCCTCCAACATTAATATAGCCAATTTGTAATTTACATCAAGACAACTACCCCAACTACCTCTTGAAAACTATCTCCCGATAAACTATCTCCGCACAACTCACTTGCCCCTGCCAACTGACCTCTAACATTAGGGACTTTTCCATTTGCACGTCGACATAGTGGACTGGTACGTGTGATGTCGACGTGCAACTCAAAAAGTCCCTATTAGCAACCCATCCTTAAATTACACCGATGCAATTACCCCAAACTACCAGTTGACAAAATTACTACCCTCTGGAAAACTATCTACCTGATAAGTCTCACCTATTAAAACTATATCTGCCAACTAACTCTGGACTTTTAACTATCCCCTCCACCCCGAATAAATATCCCAAAAGAATCCTCTGCAGAACGACAACTCGTGGACAACTACCAGTGAAAATCCATCCAACTCCAAACAACTTTGGATAGATCTGCCCCCGCCCCAAGAATTGTCTAAGAAACTACTGCCCGTGCAGAGGTTAATTTTGGTGACAACTATTCTTTATCCTATAGATATTTCCAGATTAAGAAAAGATCTGTACCAACAAAATTACTGATTATTTTTTTTTTTTTTTTTAATTTTTGTGAAAAATAAAACCCCTAAATTTTTCTGGCGCTGAATTTTTAAAACACTCTTGCGAAAAGTGTTCCCTTTTTGTATTAATACACGTATAATGGTAGTGGAATGATAAAGCGGATAGGCCTATGGAGTAGATGAATTAATGTATACGTTAATTACATACTTCAGGTGCGATTAGAACATGATATTTATAATTTTGTGTTTACTGCCCCCACCCCCCCCCCCCAGGCGCGGATCCAGGGGGGCCGAGCGGGCCTTACCCCCCCCCCCCCCCGCAAAAAAAAAAAAAAAAGAGAGAAGAAAGGAAAAGAAGGGAGAAAGGGAAAAAGGAGAAAAAGGGAAAGAAAGAAGAGGAAGAAGAAAAGAAAAGGGGGAAGAAGGAGATGGGGGGGGGGCCGAAAGGGTCTTGCCTCCCAGGCTGTTAACCACCCCCCCCCCCCCACCCCCCCCCCCCCCCCCAATCAAAAAAAAATAAGAGAGAAGGAAGGAAAGGGAAAGAAAAAGGGAAAAGAGGAGATACTGGCGTACTGATAGGGGGGGGGGGCTTGGGGGAAATCATATTCAAACGTGGTTTATTTCTAATTCCACAACGGTGGATTACAAATACTGTTGAAATGACATAATTTCCGAAATTTTTCCTCACTTTTTAGTAAATTATACGTTTGTATGTGTTTGTTGGAAAATGACAAATTCCTAAATTTACAACCAGGCAAAAAATATGATTCTTGAGATTCCTACATGTCAGGGCCCCCCCCCCCCCCCCCAACTTTTCTTGAAAAAGTATTTTAAAGAGAAATGAAATAGAATGAGAGCAAAAAAGTAAGAATAGGTAACTGCCAGTGTTAACAAAATAATGAGGCATCAAAATATGCTCATCTGACCGTGATTAAATGCCTAAAACCCCTAAGCTTCCGGGGGCTTTGCCCCCTGGATTCCATTTAGGGCACTACGGCGGACCCTTAGATGATCATCTGACGGTAATTTAATACCTAAAACCCCTGATTTTTTGGGGCTCCGCCCCCTGGACCCCACGCCAAATAGTGACTTGCCAGTGTCACAAAATAATAAGGTATACACAAAAATATGCTCATCTGACCTTAATTAAACGCCTAAAACCCCTGAGCTTCCGGGGTCGGACAAGGTATCAAGATGTGTTTATCTGACCGCAGGCGCGTAGCCAGGGGGGGGGGGCGGTTGGGGGCGGTCCCCCAATCGGAAGAGGACGTATAGGAAGAAAAAGGAGCAGACAAAGAACATATTTGATATTCAGACAAGGATTAAGGGTATAGAGAACGGTACAACGCTTCGTTTTCTTTCTCTAATAATACTACGTCAAAGCCTCGCGCAGGAGGGGAGGTGGGGGGGGGGGGGGACTGAATTCAGACGAGCATTCAGAGGCGAGAACGGTAATACGAATCTTTAATGATTTAATGAAACGTAAAAGTTTCTGCGCTTCGAGCGGAAAAGGGGGGGGGACTGAAATCAGACGAGGATAAAGAGTCGAGAACGGTACAACGAATCGTCTTCTTACTCTAATGATTTAATGAAACGTAAAAGCTTCGCGCAGGAGGGGATGTGGGGGGGGGGACTGAATTTAGGCAAGGATTAAGAGTCGAAAACAGTACAACGAATCGTCTTCTTTATCTAATGATTTAATGAAACGTAAAAGCTTCCGCGCGTCGCGCGGGAAGGGGGGGGAACTGAATTCATACGAGGATTAAGAGTCGAGAACGGTACAACGAATCGTCTTCTTTCTTTAATTGTTTAATAAAACGTCAAAATTTCCGCACTTCGCGCAGGAGGGGGAGGGGGGGGGGACTGAATTTAGACAAGGATTAAGAGTCGAGAACAGTACAACGAATCGTTTTCTTTCTCTAATGATTTAATGAAACGTAAAAGCTTCCGCGCTTAGCGCGGGAGGAGGGGGGGGGAACTGAAATCAGACGAGGATAAAGGGTCGAGAACGGTACAACGAATCGTCTTCTTTCTTTAATAGTTTAATAAAACGTCAAAGCTTCCGCGCTTCGCGCAGGAGGGGGGAGGGGGGACTGAATTAAGACAAGGATTAATAGTCGAGAACTCTACAACGAATCGTCTTCTTTCTCTAATAATTTAATAAATCGTAAAATTTTCCGCGCTTCGCGCGGGAGGGGAAAAACTAAATTCACACGAGAATTATTTTCGAGAACGGTACAACGAATCGTCTTCTTTCTCTAATAATATAATGAAACGTCAAAGCCTGGGAGGGGGAAACTCGCCCCCCCCCCCGCATTACGTCACTGATGGTCACCATAACGTACCAATATTTGGCTCGCATAATTTCAAATTTGGGCCCCCCCCCCCTAAGAAATCCTGGATCCGCGCCTGACCCCCCCCCCCTCTTTCTCATCTCTACCTCCCAAATAGTCGACTTTGCTTCTGATTTCGTATGTCTCCTAACAAAGTGAAACCTAATATACCCTGTATGACTTAATTGAACATGATGAAAGAAAAAGCCAAACCAAAAGAGAGAAATGGAAAGGGAAAAGGAGGGGGAAGACGCTTGGACCACCCTCTGTACCCTCCCCCCCCCCTCCCATTAAAAAAAAAATCCCATTTAGGTTTTCCTCAGTAAGACCAGACAAGGTAAAACATTGAATTGAATTGAATATATCATTTGGTTTATTATAGTATCTTTTAAAAACTCAATATTATTTCAAGGACCCCAAATCTGGAACTCTCTTTCTTCAGATATTAAACAAGCAGTTTCGTTAAATGTTTTTAAGTCAAAATCTAGGCACTTTATTTTAGACAGGTATTCACCAAGTTTGTTTCTTTAAATGTATAGGCAATACCCCCCCCCCCCCCCTTTATGTTGTTGTAAGTGATTTGTTATTTTTTGTAGCGTCCTTAATGTATTATGTTACAGGGTCAGCTAATCACAAGGCTTGTTCCTTTCTTGCTGTCTCTCTCATACTTAATCCAAATGTATACTTTGTTATTAATTTTTCTTGTGAATTTTACCCTTTGTATCATGTTGATTTATGAATGTTTGCATGTGTTTTCTGGATTTTTATGAGCAAATAAATAAATTGAAATTGAATAATGGAACTGACTATTTCGGGGTTTTTCTTTACAAACTAAGTCGTAGTTTGCTTATGCGCTTTCAAATTTCATATTTAAAACAATCATGATAGCGATGATGACGGTGATGCTAATAATAATGATAAAAATCGTAATAGGCCTAGTAATAGTAATAATAATGATGATAATAACCCTTCGATCTACTTAGAATAGATATAGATCAAGGCTAGTTCAAAGTATTTATTTCACTTCATTTCGTTTCATTTAGGCCGAATTTATTTATATTCATTCATTTCCAACCAAATACAAATCCCATGATAATAAAGGAGCACCAATTCAATTGTATATGTATAACGTGACCTATTGCATGGTTGACTAAATTGTGTTGTATTCCTTTGACAGGTCTCATCGCAGATACAATGGGATTCAACGCAGCTTATCTCGCCATAGCAATTGTCAATGGCGCCACCTTTGTATTGGTAGTAATATTCAAATATTTTGAAAAAAGGCGAAACCATGCAAGTGACAAGAGTATGGTCACTTCAGGACTAAAATGATATACGTCGAAAGGTCCACGCATTTTCAAGACAAAGAGCATCTGACCTCCAGAAAAGCAAATAAAAGTGTTTGAATAGGCATAATATAATTATGATTACTTCCCGGCGGCGTCATTTTTTTCTGCGGCACAGATTGGGGCTTTTTGTATAAAAAGAGGTCTTGATTTAACCCTAACCCTAACCCTAAACTTTCCCATAGGCTCAAAACGCACCTAACCCCAATTTGTGCCGCCGAAAATATAACGCTTTCCGGCGTCACACCTTTTTAATTGTTATATCATTTCCGGCAGTTTATATGCAATAGTAACAATTCTTATAACCGATTTGAATTTGAAGTATATTTACAGTACTCTTGTTTGGCCACTCATGATTATTGTTATTCAAATAAATGTACTTTTCCGCTAGTACTATTCAATTTTTTGTAATAATATTTATTTTGATCCTGTTATTTCTTGTTTGTTTTAAATATGTCATTTGATGTACCATTGTCATTTTTGAAGTATTTACATTGTTCCACACAGCCGCAATGGAAATCAGGCTTATAACTGTTTGGGCTTTTTTAACCGTGTATACATAATGATTTCAATTCAATTCAATTCAATTTATAGTCGGTATGACCGAGGTACGTGCTTGTTGAAAGCTTGGTGACAAAATGAATGGTATTTACTAATTCATTTTTCGCTGTCCGACCTATTAGGCGGAGGGCCAAAGTCAAATATCATGCTAAGTTTCGAGTTGGTTGCCACTACCACACAAACTATTTGTGATAAACTCTTATTGTTTTTAAACTGGTATCAAAATGTTGATAATTCAATTATATTTCATATGACACCAAACTCATGGTGATTCAAGATTGCCTTAAAATATTTTTTACAAAATACTATTTTTCGTCAAAAAGGCCGATTTTGGGGACACTCCCCCCCCCCCCCCCCCCCCCCCGATTTAGAGATGTTCGCTGCAAGTTAAACAAAAAAAAAAGGTGAAATATTGTGTATTATGAAAAAAATCTTTCGCATAAACATGGTGTGCTTAGTTTGTGTGAGAATTGGCAGGCAAACCCCTCTTTTCTGACTTTGGCCCTCCGCTTATAAGTATGGCCTTGTGTAAATTTCGTTGCTTTGTAGTCACCCGTTTGTAAAAATGGGAAGAATTGCAGAGATGATTAATAACGAAAAAAAATGATATTCAAAGGTAGGGTCTATATACATGTACTTCTGTCAAGAGAGTAAACCACGAAAGTTCACAAAATGCCTGAATGATTTGGGTTAAAAGCCAATGGAAGGTCAAATCTATTGTCGGAACATTATATAGTGAAGAAGAAATATAAAAATGACAAGTACTTTCATGAACTTTTTCAGTTGTTTTTGTTACAAATTGGACAAACTTTAACTTTTTAGCACAACTTCCTTGTCTTTCCAAATTTCAATATTCAAATATTGTTTCACCTTAATTGGTTAAACTGATTCAATTCAGTACAATTTCAGATGTCGTCATATTTGATGATGTATATAAATCATATACACTATAATATTCTTATTGCATAATTGCCAATTTTAACTGGATTATACTGAATCTTCCTGGTTCTAAACGCTTCGAATCCATAGTGTAATAATCAATTTATGAATAATTTGTTGCATTCAATAAATCAGTGGAAATATAACATAATGTATGGAGATCTAAATGAATTTTGAATAATTTATAATATGATTAAAATAAAAGCAAAATTAAGCGCAAACAAACTGAACTGCATCGAGTCAACAAATTTATTGTTAATTCTTACTCAGCATGTGTTACACTTTCAAGAATATTGATAAGAAACTCTTGTAGGTAAGGTCATTCTAAACAAAGGGCGGATAGACAAGTTACAAGAAAAGAGTACAATATATCCAATCAGCTGGGATAAGAGGAGCATACAAGCAGAGACAGAAAGAAAAAGAAAATAACAAGGTAGATTGAGTGAATGGAGTATCCCTCAGATCCCCTTATTGAATAACCAAAAAGGGAAGAGATGAGGAAGAGAGAGAGAGAGAGGGAGAGAGAGAGAGAGAGAGAGAGAGGTTGGAGTACAATAAATCCAATCAGCTGGGATAAGAGGAGCAAACAAGCAAAGACAGAAAGAAAAAGAAAATAACAAGGTAGATTGAGTGAATGGAGTATCCCTCAGATCCCCTTATTGAATAACCAAAAAGGGAAGAGATGAGGAAGAGAGAGAGAGAGAGGGAGAGAGAGAGAGAGAGAGAGAGAGGTTGGAGTACAATAAATCAGATCAGCTGGGATAAGAGGAGCATACAAGCAGAGACAGAAAGAAAAAGAAAATAACAAGGTAGATTGAGTGAATGGAGTATCCCTCAGATCCCCTTATTGAATAACCAAAAAGGGAAGAGATGAGGAACAGAGGCAGAGATAGAGAGAAAGAGAGAGAGAGAGAGAGAGAGAGAGAGAGGTTGGAGGGAGAAAAGACAGGGAGAGAAAAATATAATATAACGCAACCCCTCTCAGCACTCAATTGTTCTTCCGCCTACTTAGTAAAACCATACCTTTAACCAGTACCATCAATATTCTCTTTACTATCATCAGTATACTATCATCAGTATCCCCATCACTATAGTCATTGCCATTGTTGTCATCTTCGCCAGGCCTGATCTATGTCATTGTATTATCCTCCTAATCATCTGATCTATTGTCATCATTATCACAATTGTTACCAGCATCAATTACCATTACCATCATCATAGTCATCACCACTCGTCAGTCGTCCCTATAAGCTTTCTTCACCATCACCACCATCATTGCCATTAGCATAAGCATCCTCATTAATACCATCGTTGTTTACCGTTATCATATTCAGCGTCTTCATACTCTTCTTTCTCACTTCCATTCCATGTTGTATAGCCCTCAAGGTGCCAGAACCTAGGCCGGTCGGGTGGAAATCTTCTTTTGTTTTCCCCTTCAAAATAGCGACAGTCGCCCAAAAAAATAAAAACCATGAACGTCGCCCAAATCTCGCTGGTTTTTACCTGGTGCAGTGCATGGTATATACAACGTACACGAGGCGGGGGCTACTTGTTTACCCAAGCAGGATTTTGAAACTAGGGCAGAAGACAAGTGAGAATTTGGGAATAATTTCATATATTTATATCCAAATTCACTAAAAAGAATACATACTTTTTATTCATTAAACATTTTTTTCTCTAAAAAAAGCGGTAAAAAAAAAAACTATCAAAAAGCCAACCGTAGGTTACTAGGTTTTCAGGATTTTTGGGTCGGTCACGATGGGCAACATCTTTTTTTTAAACGCCTTATAATATCATCCCCATCACAATTATGATTACAGCATTCAATTATCAATATCATTATCACCATCATTACTAGCACCATTACTCGTTCCTATCAACCTCCAATACCATCACCAGTGTCTTCATTGCTCCTGCCACCATTATCATTACTACCAACTTCATCCTCATCACCATCACCACCATCATCACGATCATCATCATCCTTCTCACCACTATTCCCACCACCAAAACAAAATGCATGCAGTGGAGATGAACATCTTCACACTGAGATACAGCACATATCAAACAATAATCTTAATATTTGTTGTAATGGTCATTTATTCCATACTTATTACATAGCAGAGATGTACTTTTGTCATGCTTTCAGTCAAGAAAAAGCGAGGATGTTTTGGAAGGTGTCCAAAAATGAGAGTGCCGTTTGTTTGTTTGTTGAGTGGGTTATGAAACCGATACGAATAACGTTGAAATAGCCTGGATGTGAAGTTTGCATTCTGAGAATGTGCTATCAACATGTTCTTCAATGACAGCAGCGAGAGAGCTGCCACTGATTCAGTCTGTCTGTGTGGATGGGTTTAAGCCCTTGCTTCTAGCTCCTTAGACTTGAGCTTCTCAAGCTTGTCGATACGGGCCTGGCTCTTGCTACCCACCTGTCCACCACCCCAGTGACGACGGATCTGGAAAGGGAGGGATTTGAAGAAAAAAAATGTAAATGTATCAATGATATTCCAACCTTAAAGGGATCGTTTAACAATGTTAAATATGAGATACACGGCCATACGTGTTATCAGTGTCTGTGATATGGTGTAATATTGAAGCCCTAAAAAAATTGCGCTTCAAAACGATCAAGAAGTGCCTCAAAAAAGTAAAAATCTTTGAGTGACCGGTTTTACCATACTCGTTTTCCCCAATAGACTGTAGTGTTATGAAAACCGTCAGGCGAACGGTTTTCAAAATTTGTAATTCCAATCATAAATATCTTGATAATCAGACAGGCGATCGGCTTGTAAAAGTCACGGGGTTCCTGACTGACCTAAAGGCTTATAATTATCATTGCATCATGAGCTAAATCCAAAATTTTATTTCAGAATCTGAGACAAAGTTACCGGATCCCTTTAAAACAGCACATCTAACGTTAAGTTACATCATTCCCGAATTCCCTATAGGTTAAATTATTTTTAAAAGCTCAACAGTTAGGCCTAAAAAAAATAATGTTGTATTGCCCTTTAGGTGTCAAAACATCGGTCGGTCAGTCAGAAATTTGGGTTCGTCGGTCAGAAATCTTCTTTCCTTTTTTTTTAATCGGTAAACAAAAAAATTAAAAAGCGGACCGTAGATTTCAAGATTTATGGGTCGGTCGAAAAGGGCAATACAACATCTATTTTTTCAGGCCTTATAGCTCCAGCAGCCATTATCAACCAAATAACTATCCTCCCAAATAATAGCTAGTCATTCATTGTTATTCTAATCCAATACCTCTCATCTCATACAAGGTCCATTTAAACCTCAGGTGGTGAGGAGCATCAGTTCCCCCCCCCCATTCTTTTTTCACTCAATTTATCATTTAGTAATGCATCGTACGTACCAACATGTATGTTCTCGAATAAAACCATCAACCATATATTACTTCATGAAGTACTCTTTCTGCTCAGTTTTAAAAAGCTCGATTGTTATCTTCAGGTTATGATTTCAGGTGAAGAAATTCTTACATCATTGCAGAAGAGAGTAATTCACAATAGTATGCTATCACATATAACTCCTCACAAGCATTAATCATAGCACCTTTCCTTAGATATCATCTTCCCTCTACCAATCCCATCCTCCTTCGTTTTTTTTTTTCCAATAGTAGCCAACTAATTTTCACGTCCAGAGTACCAAGTCCTATTCACTCTTAATTATTCAATGTATCTTGGGGAAAATACAAATCGCCTCATGAGTTCTCGGTACAGGATGTTAATGGGGTGCCCTGTATTAAAGTTTTAGGCCATACCCCATGTACTTTCAGAATCTCCAGCTCTTCTAACACAGAAATAGGAGAAACCTGGTGTAGCAGTACCCCTACACACCCTAATCAAGTTATACAGGGAGAGAAAAAAGTCTAAGTTCACTTTATACTCTTTAGCTGCAGTCTACTTTCCCGTGAAAAACAAAATAAGTAAACCACGGGTAATAGTGAGCACTACAAAAAAATACGTGTTTTTTCCCCCTCAACCACGCCCCCCTTGAGTAATAAACAAGAAGAGAGGATTTTTTTTTTTGGGGGGGGGGAATGGCATCTAACAACATTCCCCTCCTTTTGAGTAAGAATATTGGGGGAAAATAGGGAAGAATCATGAAAAAAATATAAAAATCTGGAAACCGATTTAATTTGGGTAATTATCAGGCCTGGTAAACTGACCTCTTCAAATCTGTCATTGTAGTTGGTCCTGACTGTGTCTACCAGCTTGGAGAGGGCGCTCTTGTCCTCGGGGTTGACCTGGGTGAACGCAAGGCAAGCTGCGTTACGGCGATGGACCACCTGACCGAGCCGAGACTTTCCCTTCACGATGCAGTAGGGAACACCCATCTTACGGCAGAGTGCTGGGAGGAACATCACGATCTAGAATGGGGGAAACATGGCAATAATAATTTATTTAATTTTGATTATTGTTGTATTTTTCATTAATATTTGATATCAGTTATTTTCTTTTTTATCTCCTTCCGCTCAGTTTTAAAAAGCTCTATGTGTGATCTTCATGAAATTATTTCAGGTGAAGAAATTCTTACATCATTGCGGAAGAGATGTTTTCAACTATAACATGGACAGATTTATATGGTTTGCAGAATTTTAAAACAGTAAAATTTCTTATATCATTGCAACAGTTGAGGCAGCTAAAAGTACACATGTATAAACTGGTCTATTCAGGAGCCCAAACGATAAGTTCTATGAAATGAGGCATACCTCTACTCTTGACAAAACAGCATTTAAAATCCACCTTGGTGTTGCATTAAGATGAAGAATGGTACATCTATCGATTCCAAAGAAAATTAAAAGAAAGGAGTCACAAACCTCGATGGGTTCGACATCATGAGCAATGGCAACAAGCTGAGCTTTCTTGGACTCGATCAAACGGGTGACAGTGTTGACACCGGACATGATGCGAGCTTCACGCTTAGTGGGAACCTCTTCACGTCCCTTGACGCGATCCTCGGCACGGGCCCTGAGCCTGGCCTTCTTCTCCTGCTTGGTCTCGGGGCGGTACTTGTGCATCAGACGAAACAGCTGTGTAGCTGGAATGCATAGGTTAAAAGGGAATCACAAATTATAGCAACATAATGTTTCAAATAAAAATTTGGACGATTTGGTACTTCCATCAAGTCTCAGAGGGGGTTATGTTGTAATCACTTTCTCATATAGCAAATACTCAAAAGCATCATTGACTTGATTAAGTATGGAAAACTTTATGAAGACTAGGGGCGGGTTCACAAATATCCTAAGGCGAACTTTAAGTCTAAAACATTATGGAGAGCCATTTGTAGCCTGAAAATCTGTAATTGTGAAACACCCCCCTGAGGGTATTTGAAAATATCACATCAAGTTACATTTAAGTACTACTCTTTCACTTTGTACCTTTTTCTCAGTTTCCGAATGTTAATGAATGATGAAATTATAGTTATGTCATTTGGCTCTGAAAACACTAAAAAAAGAATGCCAAATAGAAACATCTACATGTACTTCAATTCTCTAAACCCTATGGCTGCCATCTGAATTTACCCATCATCCATAGTGCCAATCAGTCCCTTCGAAAATAAGCGCAGAAAATGAACATGCCATGATAAACAAGGTGCATGAATTCTAGATCCATCCAAAACACAGATTAACAAATAAGATCTTCATCAATTAAAATCGATATTAAAACAGGATTGAAGATGATATTTTACCCATTTCTCTATCAACACCGAGTCAAAAATAAGATCTTCATGAATTAGAATCGATTGAAAAGGATATTTTACCTGTTTGTCTATCGAGAGCCTGGCTGAACTGGTTGATGGAAGGAGGAACCTTCAGACGCTGGTAAAGGACAGCCTTCTGGCGCTGGAGGCGTACATACTTGGGCCAGAGGACAAAGCGGGACAGGTCCCTCTTGGGCTGGACCTCATTGCCTGGGAGATTATGAATCAGAGAAAAAATATAATATGAACATTACAAATTTATAGACAGCACCAAATTATGGCTGTTTATGGGGCAAGTCCAAGGTAGTTTGTCCTGTATGTATGTGTGTATCAGGTTGATGGTTCTACTGCAGCTTGCATGTGACATAAAATGGCAAATGTAGTGGACTTGTCTTTAGCATAGCTTGATTTCTTTCAATCAAGACACACAGAAATGTTTCAAAGTGCCGTGCACACAACTCTGCAACTTTATCCAATATTAATTAAAGATTGAAAATGGCACACTGAGCAAAACTTTTTCTTAAACACTCCACTGTTTTCTTTATATACTTTCCCACCACTGAATAATGAAAATGAACCTTTCATGCTCTACTCAGTTTTAAAAAGCTTGGCTTTTCTCTTCATGATTTGTCTCAGGTGAAGAAATTCTGTTGATACATCATAGTAGAGCGATTAACACAAGACCACAGTCATAAGAAAGCTTTTCAAGTTCAGTTAAAAGTATAAGAAAAGGTGAATTTAATATGATGCTAAACTAATACAAATTTGGAGCTGCTAAGTTTCTTGAACATCAAATCATATCACAGCCTTCATAAGAGTAAATACTGCTTGTTCTATGAATTAAGTTGCAAATAAAGGATTAGTGTAACTGGCAAGTTATTTCTTGCTTACCAATTCCAAAGTTCCTTGTCCTCTTCTCAAAAAGGGGGTTGACAACCTTCTTAGGGACCGACTTCTTGGCAGCATAGGGGGTGGGAGCCACCTTCTTCCCCTTGACTTTCTTTGCTTTCGGCTGTGAAAAGTGAGAGAAAAGGGACACGTTAACTTCAATATATCAATACAAAAAGTACACTGAGTTACCATATTTGCTTGGTCATTTTGGGAGGCTGTATCTTTTGATAGAAACATTGGTGAGTGTTGAAATTTGAAATGTTTTCTTCCAGCGGTACTTGTGCATCAGACAAAACAGCTGAGGGGCTGGAATGCTGAGGTTAAAAGGGAATGGATAATTATAGCAACATAATGTTTCAAATAAAAATTTGTGAACGATTTGGTACTTCCATCAAGTCTCAGAGGGGGTTATAGTGTAATCATTTTCTCATATAGCAAATACTCAAAACCATCACTGACTTGATCAATTATGGAAGACTTTATGAAGACCAGGTGGGGGGGGGGGGGGGGGTTGACAAAGCTCTAAAGTCAAACTTAACTCTAAGTTTAAAACATTATGGAGAGCCATTTGTAGCCTTAAAATCAAATATATTCCACATCAAGCACATGAAATTTCCTTGCTACTAGAAAATATGAATGATTCAAATCAACATTTCAGCTTTTTAAAGTTTCTTACCATATTTGCTTGGTCATTTTGGGAGGCTGTATCTTTTGATAGAAATATCGGTGAGTGTTGAAATCTGAAATGCTTTCTTCCGTTAGATCTATAGATCTATAGATGATTTTTTTTCTTCTCAATTATCCAACCATAATGGTGGAATGCAAACCATAATTGAAAAATCGTTCAGACACCCTAGACTACTAATAATTGGGCTGCTTTGGGGCAGTAATGCTATTCGGTAATGGAGAAAAATGTGTGGTAACCGTGGTCGTTTTGGTTAACATTTTTTACAAGAATTTAAAAAATTCATTTTCATATTCATGAACTTTCATTTTTTGAAGCCAAGCCAAGGCTAAGATTTAGAGTAAAGGAGCCCGTAATCGGCCAGCTCCCGTTTTCGGCCGATTGGTTGGATGCAAGGTAAAATCACTCTAAAATACATCGCATAATAGCATAACACATATCCCACTCATACCATACCATGCCAGTGTCACTGAAGAACCACATTTGCAATGAAAAATATATCCTAAAATATCACATTTTAGCGATGTAATCGGCGGTCTCGCTACCCGAATCTGAAAAATCAAGTATCTTACGCGTGTATGTAAGAAATATGGGTACCATAAAATCAGCTTTATTTCAAGTATTTTTCAGATTTAGAGCCCGATTTTGTGTTAGTCGCAAGCTCAAAAGTATCTCATCGCATGTATTAAATCAATGCAGCCGGACCCTGCCACGCACACACGATATGTCTGTCTAATTCAGATTCAAACTTCCGATCACCGCTGTGCCCGTCTTCGGCCAGGCGAGCACCAGGGAGCTCCGGCGTGGGATACCTGCTCCACCCGCTTGTGCTGTACATCAGCGCGGAAACGCACGGCGCGCGCGAGCGCTTCCTATTGACTTTGTACATGCGGCCGTAAACTGAAACGCTCGGCCGATAACGGGCTCCAAAACAGTGAAAATTGAAATGAATATTGTCATGGCAATTCGTGATTTTTTTCTGGGATTCTTTTTTTGTTTAAATAATAATAATATTTGCTTCATGATTTGAACAAAAAATGATAATAAATAGGAAGTAAAGGGTCCTAAAAACAGGATTTTGTCTTAAGTGGCCGAAAACGGGCTCCTTTACTCTAGAAGCTGTTGATTGTGTTTGCATTCTGATAAACATAAATTAGTAGTAGTAGGAGTGCTGGTCCGAGAATAAGGATCGTCAACATAAACAAGGATCGTCTTCATTACACGCGCCCGCAAAAAATAAGGATCGTCTGAATTTTCGCTCTGGGCGTTGGAGATACGAAAACAGATTCTGCAATGATTTTCTTGATGCATTTTACATGGTGAACAGACTTTCACGTTATGAAAATCCTTGAGTAGACGGACAACCCATAAAAATAAACAATGAACTGGGGTTATTTTCTTCGGCGGAATTAGTTTTTTCACATCGCCAGCGTCCGGTTTGGGAGCCTGAAACCTGCAGAGTGCAAATGACGATCCTTATTTCAGAGGACGCAATTTGTACGCTGTTACGCATACGAGGATATCCTTGTTAATCAAACGATGCTCATTCCCGGACCAGCGCCCCTACTGATGAAGGACACGTTAACTTTCAACTAGAGCAATAAAACAAGAGAGTAAATAATCCCCAAATCAATGACAAATCTCATGAACAACAGTCACTCAATGCAACATGCACAAAAAAGAAACAATTAAATTTGTGCCAATTCATAGTCATACAACATATTATGTTCAATATATTTGAATGATAGTTGATAAACGAATGCAAAAGTAGAGTTATTTTACGACAGTTCATCAGGATTCCATTCAAAATATGCTCGAGAAGGAAAGTTCTCCGACTCCCAACACTGATCCCTACGAGTGGTACAATTACACAAATTCACACCAAATATAATTCGTATGCTCATAATAATGCCCGATTTCCACCACTTGTGGAAAATATCAGTGCATTTAACTCTTCGCAGAACATACTATAAATGTGACTTAAAACAAAATTCCTAATATCAGTCTCATATAATCAAAGATGTAATTGATCGAAGAGGATTTAATCGAAATTTTCGTTTGGGTTTCCGTACCATGATTCCTGCTAGGTGTAAAAGACCGTACGTGGGTTTTCTCGTAACGTACGAGATTTTAAACGTTAAAATAGTTAGTCGTAGACGAAATATAATGCAGACCACTAAACTCTATCCGCAGTGCAGAGTATTTGTATATAAATCCACAGACTATTTTCTTTGTCACCATCAATCATCATCATCACTGGTGTACTGAAGGGGGGGGGGTGGGGTAGATGCCCCCTCCCCCCAAAAAATCCCCCAAATTCAAACATGTTTTTATTTTTAACTCGATACGAGGGATTTACAAATGTTGCTGAAATATTTTCCGGGGTTTTTCTCTCACTTTTATGTAAATTATACCTTTTTTCCCCTTCTGCCCTCCTTAAAAAAAGTCTTTTATCATTACGTTACTGATCATCATCATCATCATCATCTTTGTTCCTATTTTATTTATTTATTATTATTATTATTAGAAGTAGTAGCCAGAGGCGGTCCTCCGGGGTGGGGGGGGGGGGGGGATATAATGCTCTCCCCCCCCCCCCCCCCCACACACACTTTTTCTAATATCCCCAAAGTCTCCCTTTTTACATAGGAAAGGTGCCCCTTTTACATTAACAAGTGCCCCTATAATTTGTAAAAGTGCTTCTTCCCCTTGTCACCACTGATAAGTGCCCTTTTTTTTATTCTGAAACGTGCCCTTTTCCTTCAACAAGTTCCCATTTTCCTTTTCAAAAGGTGTCCACTTTCCATTCTCATAAGTGCCCTTTTTAATCTCTAGTAAGTGCCCCTTCAGATACGAGAAGTGCAGGCTTTTCACTTTTGATAATTGCCCCCTTCATCTCTGACAATTGCCCAATTCAAATATGAGAGGTTCCCCTTTTACTATAATAACAAGTGCCCCTTGCCATATTCATCTTTATTTTCCTCTTCCTCCTCCCCCTCCTCCTCCTCTCTTTCTTCTTCTCCTTCTTTTCTTCTTACACTTATTATCTATCATTTCTATTAACGTTGTTATTCTTATGATCATCATTATTATCTTTAATAAGTTGTTTCTTTCTTTATTTCTTTAACTTATAATGTCGGGGACTTAACCCAGGCACGGATCCTGGATTGCTTAGGGGAGGGGGCCCAACTTCTTTTATTTTTGCTCCCGAAAATTTGAAAATCGCGCGCCGGTTGAAAAGTCGCTCAGTGGGGGGGGGGGGGGTGGTGTGGGGGGGGGGGGGGGGGGGGGGGCAGGGCAGTGAGCACATTTTTTTTTTTGGCCCTCGAAAATTTAAAAATGTGCACCCCACCCCCTTGGGCGCCAGGGGGGCCATCCCCCCAAAAAGGTAAAAATCACGTGTTTTTACAAGATTTTTTTTCCCAGCGGGGGGGGGGGGGGCAGACCTCCCGGGTCCCCCCCCCCCCCTGGATTCGCCACTGCCCCACCCCCCGCTTATTCACAGGCTGGCTGAGTGGCAACTCAATATTTTCTCATGGATTGCCCCCCTCCCCCCTCCTCTTGCCGCCGGCTAAGTCCACCACTGGTCGGGGACCCCACTGGAAATAAGCTCTCGAGCTTTCTTGGTTTATCCTTTTCAAGCTGACTTTATAATTTTGATCTGTTATTCTTGTATATTGTTTTTCATGACTGGATAAGCGGGCGCCTTTGAATGTTTGAAACAGATACATGCGCCAGGCCAGATACAAGTGATGTGGATCATCATCATCACCGTACATCACCATTATACAATCATCATCATCATCATCTTTTTCATTATTATTATTGTTAAACATTTATAAAAGATTGATTCTTTAAGTGGAATTACCCCCCCCCCCTCCTATATATATTTGTCCCATATCTTAATTGTTGCAATGGGAGGGGGTGGGCTTCCAATGGGGCTCCTTTGTGAATCACTGATAAATATGATGAAAAAGCTAAAAGCTCGTACATGTTATCAGAATTTCATTCAGTGGTTAACTTCGATCCAGTAAATTACCTTTTTTCTATGAAAGTATATAATTACAAATTAAGAATTACTCAAAATGTACCGTATACCTAAATGTATCGATGAATCCACTGGAGTTAACATTTATTGATGAATCTACGGGGAGTGGGAGGGGGGGGGGGGGGGTACTCATTAAGACATACGGGGGTGTGCCACTCTAACTGGTAACTTTTTCACAAAAAATCGCTAAACATTGGTCCCACTTTAACAAAAGTACCATTAAAAAATGGTCCGTTTTTTAAAAATTTGCAAAAGCAAACACCCAAAAGTTTTGAAAAATGTGTCTTTTTCGAGAAAAATGCCCCAAAATGTCCCCTAATTATGGGTATAGGTTTCGAGGCTTGAGCGGCACACCCCGTCCAAACCAAATCTGAGTACCCCCCAGGGGATGTTTTTAAAGAAGAAAATAGGGTCATAAAGTTAGGAGTTGTTTTACAAGAACTGGTTGCTGGAATGACTCTCAGGAGAATTTAGACAGCACACAATAATCTCTAGGTCTATCTGTGTACAAAAACATAAACATAATGCTGGCAAACTTTTATCTCCAGTTATTTCTTTGTATTTTGTTGTCATCAAACACTTATTTTGAACTTTCAATCGCAGTCCATGATGATCATGACGCCAGATCATGCCCCCCCCCCCCCTCCCCTCCCCACTCCGAGAACGGACGGACCCCATGCGTGTTACCAAAATGTCCGGTAAAGGGGTACTTTTCGTGCGACAAAGTCCGGCCCGAAAATTGTAAAAAAAAGGGGTGTATTAACTTTTGACCCGGTGATTTCTTCAAAAAGTTTTTTTTTTCTCATCTCTTTGGACTCCTTATTATTCCGAATTTAGGGGGGGGGGGTAAATTGAGCATTTTTCATGATTTATGGGGGTCTCCAAGGCAGGAAAAGCCCGCGAAAAGCCTGCGAAAGGGGGGTTCGGAAATATTGGCAGTCCTCAGAAAGGGGGTGCTTTCAAAAAGAGAGAACAAGCATATGCGTACCCTAATTAACACTGGAGGTGAGTGGGGGGGGGGGGGGGGGAGATCATGACGCCAAATATACTACTAGGCCTAGTATTAGTAATATGTTGTCTGAGAAGGTAGACTATTAATATTATATCGCGATCGCGATATATCGTCGACATTTTAATCACATGATTACGTCATCGCTACGTGTGGCAGATCAGAAATTTCAGAAGTCGAAGAGAAGAATTTTACGTTTAAATATAAGTATTTTGAATGGTAAGTGGTCTAAATTGACATGATTTAGTTGACATTATTGTATGTTTTTATTGTTCAAACCAAAATTAGTATTGTTATGGTGAACTAGGTACATAATGGTGTAATTTTGGAAGGGAATATCATATGTTACTTTGGTAGTGCCTGCCCTGAGCTGTGCGTGAACTGGATAGAGTCGTGGGCAGCTGCTAGCGGGGGGCGAAGGCATGAAAGAGCAGAGAGGTGCCGGGTGGCTTGGCGGTGGCTTGGCGGAGGCCGAGGCGTAGACTAGTCAAAACATATTCTTTCACACGATTGGTAAAAAGCAGTGGCGTAGCCAGAGCTTGATGTTTGGGGGGGCACATACATTTAATTGATCAATGTCCTGGGGAGGGGACTAAGAGGAGGGGTGTCTCCCTTCCCTTTGGAAATGTTTTGCCTATAATAAAAGGGTGAAGATGCAAAATCATGTTTTTTGACATAAATTCACTCTAATGTGGATGTCATTTTATCATAAAAACGGAATTTCAAAATCACGATCAGCTCATTCAAGCATGTATCTCATCTGTACAAATGCACGGCAACTATATTATATGAGTAGGAATTTCTTCCTGACATCTTTTATATAAGCACCACAGTGGTCTGGTGGTACCACGTCATCTCCCATTTTGACAGTGAGTTTCCTTAGCTACCTTTGCCAATATGATGGTATACAGTGATGGAAAAGAAAATACGATCTCACCTGTTCGTATATCTTCGTGTGTCCGCTTAGAAGAGTTGAATCCTTGTTCTCTGTTCCCGCTGCGAAAACTTCTTCAGCACCTCCACTGGATTAGTTTGTAACTCCTTACTTCTTTCACCGGACACATAAATAACTCCAAGATCAGAGAGCCGTTGATTTCTCATTGTACTCCGTAAATAGTTCTTGATATACTTCATTGCAGAGAAACTTCTCTCGCATACAGCCGAAGAAACCGGTAATGTCAAAGCCAACTGGGTCGTTTTCCGCAGATTGGGTAAACTAGCCGAGGGTATCAACTTTTCCATGCTGGAAAAGCTATTTGCATTGTGCCTTCTAGATGAATCGGGGGTGCTGGAGTCCTTCTGTTTATTGCTGATGATTTGTCTGGCCATTGTCATTTCAGCCTTCAGTAGCTGAACGTCCACATCCAGAGAATCTGTGTATAGTTCAACAAAGGGTTCGACGGCAGAGAATTTGAGGAAGTTGACAGAGGAAGGTGTCAGTAGCGCGTCAACACCTTGCATGATTGCAATGTTGGATGCAGAGAAACGCCTGGTCATCTCAGATTTGAATGCATCCAGTATAGGGAGAAAGGTGTTGACACGAAGGTCATCAAGGAACTCAGCACTTGACTCAGCCTCTGATTGACTCCGATGACCAGTCGAAGCCATGAGGAAACTATCATCAAAGGTTCGTTGCTTCCTCCGGCGCTTTGGTTGCGGCACTGTAGGGATGTTGTTGTCCTCACAAATCCGAGTGATATCTTGCACTAAATCAGGCCACCCAGATGCCCGTGTTTCCTCGACAATTGATATCACAGAGTTGATCATGGTCACAGCATTCCCTAAGTTGGCGTCATTGGCTTGCAAGGTCTCACTGAGTGCCTGGGAGTGAGACAGCAATGTCATCAACACTTCCAAGTGAGTGACGAATGAAACGCTCATCGCTTGATTGAGAAGTCCTCGAGCTTCAACCACGAGTTTCGGATCTCGTTTCGATTCTTGTGAGTCACAGAAATGCTCCAAGACCTCAAGTATATAACTATACCGCGTCTTCAAAGTAGAAAGCGACTGGTAACGACAAACCCACCGCGTGTCACTCAGTCGGACGAGTTCTTTAACTCGACACTTGGCTCGTTGCTGGTAGTCTACAAAAACTTTATGGACGAGGGAACGGGTCATGAAGACGTACAACGCTTCCAACAAGACAAAAAACTCGCCGGCAGAACTCACGTTTTTACACATATCCACAAGGACCAGATTGAGCCTGTGCGCATGACAGTGGACATACTGGGCGTTCGGAAAATGTTCTTTCAGTCGTGCTTGTACTCCACTCAGATGTCCAGACATAACACTCGCACCATCATAGCACTGGCCCACAATGTCAAATTTTCTCAAGCCAAGTTTACCAACTTCTCGCACTATCTGGTTGGAAAGTGACTTGGCGTCAAGATCATCTGCTTCATGAAAGTCTAAGAATTCCTCATGCAAGATATGTCCCTCTGCTTCTTTGTATTCGGCATATCGCAAGCAAATGCTGATTTGTTCTTTCTTTGAGACGTCTTTACTCTCATGATTGTGGCCAATCCTGCAGAGTTCACCTCCTCCGCAATTTGTTCCCGAATTATTTCCGCTGTCACGTTCAGGAGCTCATTCTGAATTTCGGCGCTGAGATAAGTAGCATTGAGAGGCATCGTTTTGATTCTTTCACCGAAAGCAGGATTGGCATCACCGATCAGAGAACACAGTTCTAAAAAGTTCCCTCGATTAAGTGAGTCCGCACTCTCGTTATGACCCCTCAATGCTATTCCCTGTCTTGCGAGGAAAATGATTACTTTAGAAATCTGGGTTATGTATGCCCAGTTTTCCTTCACTATTCGAGAGTATTGTCCGGATATTTTGGAAGCAATGCTGCCTTCACTCAGACTTTGAAGGTAGTGGTGCCATCTTGAAAACGAAGTCTTGTGGCTTTCACTTTCGCTGTGCTTCCTAAATTTCTCGATAGCCTTCTTCCATTGATTTATCCCATTTTCAGTGAAATTGTGTTCTTTGTGACCGGATATTGACGGGAAAATCCGGCAAGAGTAGCAGAAGGCAGCATCACTGATTGCGGAGTATTCCAGCCATGTGAATTGTTTGTACCAATCTTTGTTGAACGATCGATTTTTCCCACCTGTTTTAACTTGAGGGAATGACGCTAGGATTGGTTGTTTCGGTCCAGAATCCTTTGATCCTAAATCCAACAACCCAGCATTACTCTCAGCCTCACTTATCAGTTTCACATCACTTTCCGACGATCCAGCACTTGTTCTACTGGATGGACCCGGTTGCAGTGTTACTGATGATTCTCGCAGACCTCCCTCTTTCAATTCCTCATGTTCCTCTCGAAATTCCTCTGTTTTGCGTGATTTACTGTCACTAAATTCCGCTCCTGATTTACCCCGACTCGTGAATCCAAATTTAAAAAGAGACATTTTTCATTGTAATACTGAAATAATTATCAGAGCAGTGTATGTAATCCAGCGTAGTCAATAGTAGTGGCCAATCATAAATCCTAATTAATGTACTGTGTATCTATAGATACTGCACTGTACAGTGTACACACCGAAAAATGTCCATAATATACAACTTCACCTTACGCGCATATAGTCAAAACAATGAACCCATTGTATTTGTCCCGAACTTGACCCCACGCGCGACGATCAGTCGGTAGATTCATCCACACAGGCTATTATGTAATTTACTTTCGGAATGTTTCAGTTATCAGAAATTCTGAAAAATGGCTGCTTAATGTGATATAGGTGAAATGAAGTTGAAGGCATAATAAAATAAAGTTATGAAGAATGTGTGAAGTAAATAGTATAAGGCTTTTGTTTTCATAATAAAAAAAGTTCAATCGATCTTGGAAATTTTGGGGGGGCACGTGCCCCCCCGTGCCCCCCCGTGGCTACGCGCCTGGTAAAAAGAGCTTCCATTTAAGTTTTTGAGAGAGGGGCATTTCCAAAACTGTAACATCACAGATATTTCTAATTCCGTTTAACCGATAGTCAAAACTGGACGGTTTTCGGTTAAACGTTAATTTTGGCGCTAACAAGTTAGAGTAACTAAAGGAGCCGGTAATCGGCCAGCTCCAGTTTTCGGCCGATTGGTTGGATGCAAGGTAAAATCACTCTAAAATACATCGCATAATAGCATAACACATATCCCACTCATACCATACCATGCCAGTGTCACTGAAGAACCACATTTGTAATGAAAAATATATCCTAAAATATCACATTTTAGCGATGTAATCGGCGGTCCCGCTACCCGAATCTGTAAAATCGATTATCTTACGCGTATATGTAAGAAATATGGGTACCATGAAATTAGACCGAAAGCTTCAGTCTCTATACCGTCGGTTGTTCCACTGAGACTACGTCTGGCTCCACTAGACCTCCGGTTATAGAGACTGAACGATCGCCTATGCCAGCCTATGTTGAAGATATCACGGCTAGATTTTAGCCGTTAGGCCCCTCCCACAAACATGAACAAACTTGCCACGGCCGTATTGTTATGCCCCCAAAATCCCCCAAAATGTCATTTTACCTCGTGCATATCCAATTTTACATTAGGCCTAGGCTATAATACATCGGTTCCACTTACTATTACTTGATTGAAATAATCCGTTTAATGGTCCCTTTTAAGGAAATTATGGGTCAAAATCGACATCCATGTTGAAAATCTTGCAAGCCGTACCGTTAAACTCTCGCTGCCGTCAATCTCATCCCTTCTAGTCTACGCCGAAGGCAAAAATGATTATGAAGGAAAAACTGTGATAACGCCATTACGAACGTGTAGATGGCGCACAGTTTTTCCTTCATAATCATTTTGCCTTCAGCGTAGACTAGAAGGGATGAGATTGACAGCAGCGAGAGTTTAACACGGCTTGCAAGATTTTCAACATGGATGTCGATTTTGCCCCATAATTTCCTTAAAAGGGACCATTAAACGGATTATTTCAATCAAGTTAGTAAGTGGAACCGATGTATTATAGCCTAGGCCTAATGTAAAATTGGATATGCACGAGGTAAAATGACATTTTGGGGATTTTGGGGGCATAACAATACGGCCGTGGCAAGTTTGTTCATGTTTGTGGGAGGGGCCTAACGGCTAAAATCTAGCCGTGATATCTTCAACATAGGCTGGCATAGGCGATCGTTCAGTCTCTATAACCGGAGGTCTAGTGGAGCCAGACGTAGTCTCAGTGGAACAACCGACGGTATAGAGACTGAAGCTTTCGGTCTACCATAAAATCAGCTTTATTTCAAGTATTTTTCAGATTTAGAGCCCGATTTTGTGTTAGTCGCAAGCTCAAAAGTATCTCATCGCATGTATTAAATCAATGCAGCCGGACCCTGCCACGCACACACGATATGTCTGTCTAATTCAGATTCCAACTTCCGATCACCGCTGTGCCTGTCTTCGGCCAGGCGAGCACCAGGGAGCTCCGGCGTGGGATACCTGCTCCGCTCGCTTGTGCTGTACATCAGCGCGGAAACGCACGGCGCGCGCGAGCGCTTCCTATTGACTTTGTACATGCGGCCGTAAACTGAAACGCTCGGCCGATAACTGGCTCCAAAACAGTGAAAATTGAAATGAATATTGTCATGGCAATTCGTGATTTTTTTCTGGGATTCTTTTTTTGTTTAAATAATAATAATATTTGCTTCATGATTTGAACAAAAAATGATAATAAATAGGAAGTAAAGGGTCCTAAAAATAGGATTTTGTCTTAAGTGGCCGAAAACGGGCTCCTTTACTCTAGTCTACTAAATCTAGATCTAGACTAGTTCATAAGTCTATCCAAAATTTGACCCTTAACTTACTGGTAACTCTGGCGTGGAGATACCCTACTAAAACATGAAGTAAATATTCATCAAATGTCCAAATAAACTTATAAAGGTCATGATTTAAAATTGGATATGTTTGTTACCTGTTTCGTGTCAATTTTCTTATCATTTTCAGAGTATTTTTCCTAAATCGAAGACAAGAATAGGTCTAGAGAGTATTAGAGGTCTATGCACTTTCTCATGGGATTCACGGCAAACTGCAGCACAATACAATTACATACCATCCCGATGGTCGGGTGCGGGCGCATGTGTTAAGTTAGCGAATGTAATCTTAGTTTACGTTCGCTAGCTGAACTAGCGCCATTTAAAAAATATATAAAAATTGTGTTTTAATTGGAAAATTAGAAGAAATCATGATAGATCTAGATCTAGGTCTATTCACAAATAATTCACATTTATCAAAAACAAAATCACTGAACAAAAACAGAGACTTTACTGTCGGGCATGCTTTGGAACAATGACTGGGTTTCACTTTGTTTATGAAGCTGATGAGTCTAGTATGCACGTGTATTCATGCTTATACCTGTAGCTCACGATCGTGATATTGCAGAGGTCAGGATTTGGGATTTAAAATATGGCATCAGTCAAGTATTGTGCTGTTTTTGCTTGTATTTCAAGGCTGGGAACTTAAGTTTTATGAGTCTTCTCAATCTACAATCTTTCAATTGATTATTATCGTGTACTGTAGATTGTTGCTCTGCAATTCAACATTCATCAGTCAGGGTTGACTTATGATGACTATAATATCGGCAAAACTTGATGAATAAAGTGAAACCCAGTCATTATTCTAATGCATGCCCAACAGTTAAGTCTCTGTTTTTGTTCAGTGCTTTTGTTTCTAATTATGTACATTATATATGCTAATAATGTGATTTCTTTTGATTAAAAAAAAACAAAAAAAAACAGGAAAACAAAACCGTCAAATTGAAAATGGATAGGGCCGTGGTCGGTCGGATACCGGACGGTTAAACGTTTGATAACAGCACTAATAGTAACAATGTTGTTTTTAAAATTAAAGATGACAGACAAATTTTCTTCTAAGTCCAAACAGAAATCCAGACATGCGGGTAGTGTTGTTCTAGTTTCCGAGTGTTGAGTCAACACACCGATTACTGAGCTGGGAGACATTGCCAGGCATAAATCAGAACTTTTTTTTTTTAATTATATAAAAAAAAATTATACCTGTGTATAAGACGCACCCCAACTTTTTTTTCGGCAGCCAAAAAATGTGTCTTATACATGGAGATTTACGATACGTGTAAGAGCGAATACATGTATAACGTTCACACTTTGGTACTCTATAGGATGATAGACTATGTCAATGAATACAGCCCTGGGCATTACATGTGCATTTTTGTAAACTGAAGTTGTGAAGAGGCCTTGTGTCCGGTGCATTTATAACTAAGTTTGTTAGTTTGTCATCATCAGGTCATCATGCTCTGCTACATTTCAATGATTGCTTATTTGGCATTTGACATCCGTATTTGAAGAATTTTATTCAAACGTGTCATAAAAGTTTGATAAAACATATTAATCAGGCAGTGTGGTATGTAAGTTACAACTTTGCTTGTTATTGTACTTTTTTTGTTTGTTAGATTTTTTTTTTTTTTAAAGAAGCATTTGAATTCCTTGTAATATAATGTAATAACTGTACGAACGTGTATTACTGATATCGAAACTTATTTGAAAGGAAGTTCAGTATACATGTATGTCTCATTAATCACAGCTCTTGTCATGAACATAAATACTACACAGACGACAGTATGGCAAGCTCTTGATATTGAAAGTACAGGTATGAGTGGCATCCTGTCATAGCCAATGTCTGCATTGGTTTCATTTCCTGTTGATATGACTAGTCAAAACTTGCCAGGATTGGCAAGAGGCTGGACTCCCGATTGCTTGGAAGGGAATCAGAAAGAGTGGTTTGCAGTAAGAGAGGTGTTGTACATGCATGTACATTGTAGAGAATACATCTTCATATACATGTATATATGAGTCCTTTCATTGAGTAGGCAGTAGGTGGTAAGCTATTTTGATTTGTTTTTTGAGTCAGTTGAATTGATCTAAAGAGAATATAATTCCATTGTTTTTTGACTTTGTTTTTACTTGTGTGAAATAAGTAACTATTAAGTTGAATTAACTTTTACTAAATTCCATACAGTGTAGCCAACCAAGGACCAACATTGGCAAAAACAGTTCATAATCTTACACTGTAGATTCATGCTGTATGCTTTTATCCTATTTGCTTTTGTTGGATGTTGTTGATTTTTTTTCTTCTTTATGCTTCTTATTTACTTTATTTATTTCTTGAACTTACATGTACTATAGCTATATCTTGCTGCCCAGGGTTGCTGTACATCTTTATTCATTGCAGAGAGCTCAATATCCTTTCCCCTCTATCATAAAAAGAAAGTTCACCAGATTATTCAAACTCTGTATATAGATAATTAAAAAGTTGAAGAAAGGCACCATTCATTTCACTATTCTGATTCTTGTTTTCACCCTCTTTAAGCATTATTGCAACATCTTCATTTTCATCTCTATTTTACTTTCATTGCTGAAATCGAAGGAAAAAAAAGAGATAAAAAGATAAACTGTACATTTTTCAGTCAGGTAAATCACATTATTTGCCAATATTTAGTTATACCCCCCCCCCCCCCCACGAAAAAAACTTACCGGGGGTATTAAAAAAAATAATAAGTTCTGCTGTGGTTCTGCTTTCATAAATACCGGTACCATTGAAGAATCTAAACCCCTGGGATATTTTCCCCCTCAAAATACTTTGTAAATAATCTACCAAGCCAGATTGTAATTTGTATGCCCAGGGTATTGTGGCAGGATGTCCAGGGTATTGTGGCGGGTTGTCTTGGGGCGGGTTGTCTTTGTGGCGAGTTGTCTGGACCCCAGATCTAGATCTAGGTCTAAGTTAGACTACTAAATCTAGATCTAGACTAGTTCATAAGTCTATCCAAAATTTGACCCTTAACTTACTGGTAACTCTGGCGTGGAGATACCCTACTAAAATATGAAGTAAATATTCATCAAATGTCCAAATAAACTTATAAAGGTCATGATTTAAAATTGGATATGTTTGTTACCTGTTTCGTGTCAATTTTCTTATCATTTTCAAAGTATTTTTCCTAAATCGAAGACAAGAATAGGTCTAGAGATTATGTAAATAATCTACCAAGCCAGATTGTAATTTGTATGCCCTCTGATAGTGAATGTAAATAGTAGTACCAGTAGTTTTTTCCATATTGGACACACAATACAGCACATGTACAGTTAATAAATTGGAAATCCAGCAAGTCTGGTGTGTACATGTAGGAACTCTGATCATTCTGATGTATACTCGTGTAGGAGATCTCTTGCAAGACCATTTTCCATCTTCAGATCATGGCATGTAAAATGATGTAATACGGTAGATATAAAATGCATACATGTACGTTTACATGTATACCCAGTTCTAGACACTCTGTATACCGGTACATGTCTATGCTTCATGTACATTTGCTAGAATGCGTACATGTACATGTACATATACATGTACCCTCGGAAAGTATTCATACAGTTTCTTTGTAAATTTGTACCTGTATGTATTAGTCAAAATACCAGCTTAAATCTTTAAGTCATTTCATCCACAATAAAAGAGAAGTGTAAATGTATGTACATACAAAATTACACATTATACAGTCATATGACCTCAATACAGTATTTTTTTAAATTGCAAAGTCATTGCTTGTTCTGCCTGTATAGTGGCAAAGAAATAAAGTAATGGTCGTGGTGTTCTTATTGGCATCATAATATAGACACTATAAAACGCATAAATTCAGGATGTTATTTTGTAATTTTTAATCACCGGTAAGAGTACAAAGTGCAGTGGAATACAGTTTTATAACTCTTACTGGTTTTTTCAATAGGCTGATCTAGCGGCCTAGCCCAACATTATTCTTCATTTACTGTACATATTGAATATCTGGTATTTGATATAATTTATTGAAATTTTATCTCCCAACTTGCTCAATCGTATTTGATTATTCATGGCCATCTTTATATAAAAACTGTTTTCGTCATAAGCACCCTTGAAGTGGATGTTTGCTTTCAAAGGTCCAGATTGGCAATGTGATAAAGTCAGTTTGAAGGTGATAATCAGTTACACAAACTCTGAGATTAAGGTTGATATACCTCTAGCAGTATTTGTGTATAAATGCAGATCATGTTTTTGAACAATACCTTCTCAATAGAAAAATACAAATTGTGTTTAGTGTTATTATTTTCTTTGTTGATATCCAAGGCTTTGTAATAATCTTATTACTGGTACATTTATCACTAGAAAAAATCACATATTTCTGCCCATTGTCGAAAACTGTAGTGCAGACGAGAGTTTGATCTCAAAAAGAGTTTACAATTGATTCAATTTAGTCACAACTTGACATTAATTGCGACTGTGTACTTTGAACAAGAGAGATAGGAAAATTAACGATTTGTGATTGATTAGAGGCCGTGCAAACAATGTGGATCAATTAAAAACTTCTCTGAAGACGAGACCCAGAACTTGGTCTGTATAAAAGTTGTACATGTATGTATTTGTGCTATTATGTGTGTTCGTCTGTGTTTGTCAAAGGAATAACATTGCTCCCTGCCTATATTCCTTCTTGTTATGGCCCTTCTAATAATTTGTTTCATATTTTTTGTTATTTTTGTTGCTCTGAATTACCTCGTTTTTGTTATGTCCAGTGCTATGTATGTTGCTGTTAAATGCAAATGTCTGTTATACAAAGTATACACGCATCTATTTGAAATTCTTAATGATTTATTTTAATACTTTTTTCTTTTTTATCAAATGAAATATAGTTTCAGTGAGCTGAAAAGATTCTCAAGAAGGAAGACGAGTACACAGGGCCAAGATGGGTTCCTTGTACCGTAGTGAGGGGATGTGCCTGGCCCAGCTATTCTTGCAGTCTGAGGCGGCCTATGCATGTGTAGCAGAGTTGGGAGAACTGGGTCTGGTCCAGTTTAGAGATGTAAGTATCCATAATCTTAGACTGATCCAATGTATCTCTCTAAAACCTATTATCAACTCACTCACAACCTAAACTTGCCCAACAGCTCTGAGAAAATAGTTGTGTACCGTACCTGATTTAATTTTCTCTTTCTTTATCAAACCACTTAAACATGTCATATATACTGTATATGTACATTAATTACAAAGAAGTACTTTTAGTTTCATAATTAGAATTCTCTATTTATCTGTATTGCTCCGTTTAGTAGGCCTTTGTGTCATAGGAGATGATCATTATTGTGTATTTTGACCAGGTACTTTGATGTATCTCATTTTTGTATTTGTTTGTACTGTCTTCATTGCAGTTAAATCCAGATGTGAATGCTTTCCAACGAAAATTTGTCAACGAAGTGAGGCGGTGTGATGAGATGGAAAGGAAGCTACGTAAGTAGGAAACTCATTGCTGTTTCACTACATGCTTAAAGGTATAGACCAATTCTGGTCATGCGATTGCATTGTGAAAGAAACATGGTGGAATCGATCAGAAAAGGTTGATCATCAAGCATATAAGTATTGGTGTGTACTGCAAGGTTCTGGAATCATAAAAATGATAATATATTTGGCTGAGTCTTGGTAAAGTTACAAGCACAGAAGGACTACGCGACACGTGCTTGATATCTACCAAATATATCAATTAGTAGGCGGTTTCGCGGCAAAATTTGTATCATCACGCATTAGTTAAAACGTATTCTTTCACATGATTGGTAATCGGAGCTTCCATTTCATTTTTTGAGAGGGGGGCGTTTCCAAAACTGGTCTTTACCTATAAGGTTTCATTAGCTGTGAGCACCGTATGCTTCTTCTGAGCTTGTGGGTTCTGTTTCATGAAACTTGTTATCAATAACAAATGCTCAATTTTTATGACAGTTTTGCTCTCGGGTGATCAAATGCCACTATTTCAGTACCTTATTACAGTTATTGTAACTTGTTTGATATCAAGTTTTATGAAACAGGGCCTTGATGGGCTTGCAGCACAGCAAGCCAAAGCTTACCAAAATAAGTTATCTTTGTAATGATTATGGTAAAGGAACTATTTCTCAATGTCGCATTACTGATCAGGGTCCTGTTTCATGAAACTTGTTATCAATAACAAGTAGCAATAACTGTTATAAGCTACTGAAATCGTGGCATTTGATTGGCTGAGAGCAAATTTGTCATAGAAATTTAGCACTTGTTAGTGATAACCAGTTTCATGAAACAGGGCCCAGATACACCTTTTCAGTGAAACTGGACAGGACCAATAACCTCAAGTATATATATATATATATCTCTCGGTACTTGTCCCTTATTTTATCCTCGTGTTATTCTTTATTGTAGGATATCTCTCGGTGCTTGTCCCTTTTTTTTAACCTCATGCTATTCTTTATTGTAGGATATCTCTCGGTGCTTGTCCCTTATTGTAACCTCATGTTATTCTTTATTGTAGGATATCTCTCAGTGCTTGTCCCTTATTGTAACCTCATGTTATTCTTTGTTGTAGGATATCTTGAGAAGGAGATCCTGAGAGCTGGTATCCCTATCTTGGATACTGGAGAAAACCCTGACGCGCCTGCGCCGAGGGAGATGATTGATCTAGAGGTAACCTTGGAGTAAAGTTTGAAGCCATGTTAGCAACTAGGGGGTGTTTCATGAAGCTGTTCACACAAAGTTACGCATGACTGTGCAAACGACTTAAATATGAAAAGCCAAATGGGATGCTCAATCAATTTTTACTGCATCAACTAAAGTTTAACTGTGTAGATGTAGATTAACATTCTTATTATAACAAATATTTATAATAAAAGTACATTTTTTGCCATAATTTAACTGAGGTTATTGGAAATGTAGTCACACTTTGTAAAATCATCAGGAAAAACTTAGGGCATCCTATCTTGCACTTCATATTCAAGTCGTTTGTAAAGTCATGCATAACTTTATGAACAGCTTTATGAAACACCCCCTGGATTTATAGTCAAAATTTAAAAGAAATGGGTGGCAGCTTTCATGATTTTGTCCAATTGCAGGCCTTGAATGCCTCTCAGTATCAGATTTTTTTCTAGCTCTATTTTGCAAATAATATGTGGGATTACCATGTGTTGACGTCTTCTTACATTATTGAGATAAATATACAGAGTAAAGGAAAAGTTCCAATAACAGGAAAATAAAAAAAGAGCAATCGTTGTAATTTTTCAAATCCCAGCCGTGCTTTCATTTCCTTTGGCAAGACGCTAATCTTGATTTGCTACTCTCCACCCAGGTGTAAATGGGTACCTGATATGCTTGAGCACTAGTTACTTTGGCAGCTCGGCTATAACCAGGGTAATAATGTCTAAGCGTCATGAGCATCACTGCATGATGAATATGAGTGCTAGTGGCCAGTATGCATAAAAGAAGTTGTGAAAATGAAAAGAGATCAAAGTTTATTTAGATTAGACCAGCGATTTAATTGATGTTATATGTCTAGCTTGTTATTCCAAGTATGGACAAAACCAATTTTGCAGAATTTGAAGGCATCAATCATAAATATCTTGATAATCAGACAGGCGATCGGCTTTTAAAAGTAATGGGGTTCCTGACTGACCTAAAGGTTTATTACTATCATTGCAGCAGGAGCTAAATCCAGGATTTTGTTTCAGAATCTGCCACAAAGTTACCCAATCCCTTTAAAACTGCAAGTACCTCTTTGTTTATCTACTGACACTTTCTCTTCTCCTCGTTTCGTCTCTCTACATGTGCCTCTGTCTCTTGTGTCTTTGTTTACTGCAGGCCTGCTTTGAAAAGCTGGAGAATGAACTAAAGGAAGTCAACACCAACCAAGAAGCACTCAAGAGGAACTTCTTGGAGCTGACTGAGCTCAAGCACATCCTGCGCAAGACCCAGCACTTCTTTGATGAGGTATGCCTTTTCTTTTCAGCTGAAATTATTTGAAACAGTAGGGAGTATATGAAGAGTTTAATTCCAAAAGGAGTTAAATCTACTTTTGATGAAAATTGAGTAAATTTTGGGAGCAATTATAAAAAAATGCACCCTCTAATATCACTTTTTTGTAGACGCCTGTACAAAATCTGGTAAACAAATGCGTTTTTCTCTCAAGTTACAAAAATGGATTTAGCTCCTTTGGGAATTAAACTCTTCATATATATATATATATTACTCTATCATTTGTGCAAGGATGCCAGTATTCAGGCCATATGACGATTTCCGGCCCGATCGGGGCCCCATTTCATAATACTTGTCAATAACGAGTTACAATAAGCTACTGAAAGAGTTGGATTCTTTTCAGCTGATATTATTTGAAACAGTAGGGAGTATATACTACTCAATCATTTGTGCAAGGATGCCAGTATTCAGGCCATATTACGATTTCAGGCTTGATCAGGGCCCCATTTCATAATACTTGTTGTCAATAACGAGTTACAATAAGCTACTGAAATAGTTGCGTTTGATTGGTTGCGAGCCAACTTGTCATAGAATTTCGGCACTTGGTATTGATAACGGCTTTTAAGAAACGGGGCGCAGGTATCGTATTGTGCAGCACATACAGGACTTTAGCATGTGAGATTATCTTTCAAGGGTGAATCCAACTGGTATACATTTCTTTGAAGATCCCCTTGTATCCTTGTCAACTCTCACCTCTGCCTCCCCCCCCCCCCCCACTATTTTTATCCTTACCATGACACTTGACTTAAAACCTAGACCAATGAATTTATAATATCAGGTCAGTACTGTCTCGTTGTAAGCTTACAAACAAATATATGTTGTTTGGGTAAAGACGGGGGAGGGGGGGGGGGACAAATTTAAAGATCTCTATGTTTGTGATCTACTTTTATACTTACTGTGTATTAGGGAAGTATTTTTACATTATTCTGCAGAAACAGCCATGATTCAAATGTATTAAAGCACATTAATTTACAGAGAGTTTCTATTCTTCTTTGACATTCTTACAGACATTCTTACTGAGCTTGTCAACGGTAATGAAACGTTACAATCTCTGAGCATGATTGTCTAAATATGCCACTGGACATATCCATGGTGGGATCCAAACTTTTTGGGCGAAAGCAATTACCCTAAAAAAAAAATAGATGATTTTTGATTGGTTTCACATTAATTTACCTCTTGTAATAAAGATATGATGTTATTAATATCTTTGTGGGAAAGCAATCACACTTAAAAAAAGGAATCATAAGTCATAAGGGGTATCACATTATCTCATGGCTCAAAAGCTGCCCATAGGACAACATGTTCAGAGAGTTAATCTGTTATGAATTAGTTTGAGTTATTTATGTCTTCACTTTCAATAAATGGAGATTATTTCAGTTGTGTTTGTCATATCTTAATTTGGTACCGTCTTGAAGCCTTTGTCGCTTCTTCTTTTTCAGCTTCCTTTTGGGAATTTTGTTTTACTTTCAATGTCAGTTCTATCAGCTCTTGTTATAGCTGTTGTCATTGTCAAGATGCATTCTTCAGTTGCCTTGCATGTTTGGGTCATTTTTCAGTAATCATGTTACGAGTGTTAAGCCATTTCCTACTAGAACTTGGCGGGCCCTACATTGAATCTATGGCATTGGGTGAATACATTAGTCAACATTTTAGATAAGCAACATTTCTTATGTCTTTGGAGATTAACATTACAAGCTGTCTAACATCTGCATGATTATAGTGATTTTCATAGACAATATAGCAATATTCCTAAATTCATTATAAAAAGGTTACGTGTACAGGTAACCTGTACAAAATTTAACAAAATAAAACATATACAAAAAACTGAAGAAATTCTAAAGGCTTTACCATTGAATTACATATAATTAAAGCACTGATGATTTTTGGAGCAAAAACTTCAAACATTTTGAGCAAATAATCTCAGAATGGAACATGTGATACTTAAATCCCCACTGCACTACTTACAGCTACTTGCACCTTCTATATAGCAAACAATGCCTAATCGGTGCCTGTTGATCCCCCATGATCCTCTTTTTCTTATGTTAATTGAGAGCTGAATTGATGAGATAACCACCTGTCAATGATCTTGCAGGCATGTCTCATCCCCTGGTCAAACTAGTGCAGACAGGCTTTAAGGATAACAAGTCTATATTGGTATACATGTATTTAGATTGTGAACCACTTGGTTTAAAGTCCCATTCAGATTACTTTGCAAAGAGACCGGAGGAATTAATTGGTGCCTGTTTTAGCTAGAACTACTTTCAAACCACTCAGTATTTTTCTTTAATATTTATTTGGCCTTTCTCCTGAATTTACAGCATCTTGATTTTATCCTTGTCGGTGTTACCGTGTCTGGCTTTTTGCTCTCAGATTACCAGTCTCTATCAATTTATCTATGATTTTTATTTTTCTGACTTTTTGTCACTGTTTTAGGGTGAAAATTTGTTTTAATCTTTTCTTTTTTTGCATTGGAAAGGCTATCAAAATATACAGGACTCCTAACAACATTTACATAAATTGTTAGGTGTTTAATAAGGAAGTTACGCATGATTGCATGATGGTTAGCGTTTCAGATTATAATTTGCAGACTTATTATATTCATTAATGTTCATGATGCATTTATTTCGTATTCTACTCAGTATTAATGCATCTAAGGAATTTTTTTGTTCAACATCCCATTCTTTTCATGAATCTATAATACATGTATGTGAAATATTGCATGTACATGTACTGATGAATAATCTGTTTAAGGCCATTTCTTACCTAGCTACGACTGAAACATGCATATGAATGAATGATTTTCTGACCGTTCGTTCTAAATATATTCATTAAAGATTCCGTCCATAAATGTCCACATGCAAAAGTTATAGGTGATTGCATACAAATTGACTGAGAAGCATGTTTTTGTATACATGTATTCAGAAAAGGTTGTGTACATTTAAGCATAACTCTAAATTCGAAAATGCGTGTTTTGAGGCATTTGTTTTTGTATTTATAGTTAAGAGATAAGCAGATTTATGTAATTTTATGGCAACCATATAATATATATATGTGCATAGACTGTTGTGAATAATTTGTCCACATTCATTACCGACCACATAATATGTTACATAACATTTCCCCCACTTATCATTCATTTACATATGTTAGGAAATAAATACACAACTCTATACATGTACATCCAATCCTATCCAGTCCCCCCCCCCCCAAAAAAAATAGATCAACTTGTACAGGCGCGGATCCAGGATTTGAAATCAATTTGAAATTTCAAAATTGTGCCGGCCATTATTTCGCTTCGGGGGGGGGGGGGGGGGGGGGGGGGGGGGGGCATTAGTTTTTTTTGTGTGTGTGAATTCGGGCCAATAACTATTACCGGTAAAGGGTAATGTATCTAATTATTCAATGAATTTGTCAACTTTTTTCATTCAGAAGTTACACTCATTGCACTCTAGCTGACATTATATATTTCCTGTTCTTTTTTTGTACCCCGCCCTTTTCAGGGGGGGGGGAGCATTAGTTTTTGTGTGTGTGTGAATTCGGGCCAATAACTATGAAAGGGTAATGTTCCTAATTATTTAATGAATTTGTCAACTTTTTTCATTCAGAAGTTACACTCATTGCACCCCAGCTGACATATATTTCCTGTTTCTTTTTTTGTACCCCGCCCTTTTCATGTTTCTCTCTTTCACACATGTACTGTGCATACCTACCTTTCATCCTACTATTTTCACACTCCATACTTCATTCTCCCCTCACCATCCTCCCGCATTTGTGCATCGATTATAATGGCCTGAATTAAAATGCATGCTTTGAATTTAAATGATTTAATTGACTAATCCATTTGAGTTGTATGTTTTTATTGCATTTTGTATATTAACACCCATCACATGTTTTGTTGAATTGTGCACTAACCATTTAATTTCCCATTTTCATGTAACCCTTCGTGTATTTAATGCTTGGCATGTTCCATTCAAACAAAATTTAATTTCTGTTTTTTTTTTTTAATCTCTTTATGTCATTCACACTGGTGAACAAATTTCTTTTACCTGCTTATTCAATTTATGAAAAAAATTCTCATGTTTGTCTTTTCACTAAACTGTTTTATACTTCTTTAAACTTCTTGAATAAACTACTATCTATGTCTATTTATTTATAAATATTCCTAATCAATTTTTCAATATTTTTTGCTTTGCATACTTGGTGAAATTAATCCTTCTTCTTTCTTTTGCCATTAAATGGATAATTTTTTTTATTTTTTATTTTTTATTTTTTTAAATATCTCCTATATGCCTGGTTTGGGGGCTTGGATGCTGTTGAATTCTAAACTGTTTCTCTACAATTTACTTTCAATCTGGTACCTCTTACTGCTTGCTTAAAATATGAATTCATGGTTTTCATTCTTGCTTTTTTCTGGTTCTTGGTGCATTGTGGTGAATTGTGCCCATCATTTACCCAATAAAATTCTGCACTGCACCCTGTCTCTCTTTTGTGTATGAATCCGTCTTCCGTCTGCTGTTACTGGGTCTCTGCTATGTGCACTGTATTCTACTCATGTTTGTTGTTCACATGTATTGCCTATGCATCTTACCCGTCCATCAAAAAAAAAAAAAATGCATTCTGTCTGCGCCTCTTCAAACACCCCCTTCCCTGTTCCCCACTACCCCTATCTCTCCTCACCACTACCCCCATCTCCCCTCACTCTGCACCCACTGGGGAATGGGGCTGTATATCTACCTGTTTCTGTCGTGGTCTTCGTGCTCTTGCATGTCTGTCTGTCTGTCTGCCTGTGTTTGTGTGTCTGTTTGTCTGTTTGTGTGTGTGGGACATTTCTAAACTCCAGGCTGAATTCCACCACCAGCAGATGCACGATGGTGACGGCATGGAGGAAGCTCACAAGCTGCTAGGGGACGACGGACCCATGATTGGACGCACTATGAGACTGGGGTATGTACCTACATGTAAATGCCTCAGTCACACCTTTGCGTATTTGGCTTGCGTATTGCTGCATTTTTATGGCAAGCCGTTTTAACATTTACTCCTATTTCAAGAAATGAATTCTTGATATCAAGATAAGATTTTCTGATGTAAAGCAATGGTAATTCTTGATATCAAGAAATAGGAATAAATGTTAAAACGGCTTGCCATAAAGATGCAGCAATATGCAAGCCAAATACGCGAAGATGTGACCGAGGCATTAGCTGCTTTCTATGAATACGAAGAGAAAAATGCTGTTATGTTGCCATTTTTTCGATGTGCCATACTCGTTGTGTAATAAAATTTAAAATCTTGTAAGTGCCTTGTTATAATTTATTTTATTTACCTGTTACAAATAATTCTATTACAATAGTCAGAATGCAAATTGCATACATTAGTTGTTGATAAGTAGTACAAACATCATTGCTTGTCCTACCTGACAATACATACTGTATGCAATTCCCACTGACTACTGAAATACAATTATTTGTAACAGGTGAATAAAATTGTTTGTAACGAGGCACTTTACAAAGGTTCGTGCGTTAAATTGGATTACATTATAAAAGTGGCCTATTAAATCAATTTTCAAGAGGGCCAATCACATTAAATAAATAAGTTGTGTAAAGCTAATGTGTATTTATCTAAATTCGATGAAAAATCAAATGAGAACTTTACCACACATTGTAAGGATATATGACTTGAGAAGTATGAATAAAGTAAAGGATGACATTAAGCCCCTAAAGAGACAACCCAGTTTGGAATTGGATTCCATGCTCATTGTTCTTTTAAAACACACTCAAATAGGGATAGAAAGGGAGATAAGAGTGGTATGAAGCCATGGAGTTATCCTAGTACTAAAGGCTGAACAAATAGAACCTGAATTTATGATAAAACTTAATTTACATGTACACTAGACACAGGTGCAGAAACTCTCACATTACATATGATAGCACACAGCGGTCACTATAATTGTATTTACTCTATTATATGGGTTGATTTGTTAGCAAATAGACAAGAGTGTAGTAGAAGGTATTAGAATTCGCTAGCAACTTGCATCACACAGCGTTTTAATACAATGTTTGTAATTCGTTGTTATTCTTTGGTATCCCTCTACTTACCAGTAATGCAAAACTCTTAGATATGGAACATATTGCATTACTACTATGTCTAAATAGATCAAGGGATTGGGCAAGTGTGAATTATTTTCTATTAAAAATTTAAAAAATCAAGAAACAGACAAATAAAAACATTATTTATTTTTTTGATTTAAAAAAAAAAAAAAAAAAACAGCACATCACAAATCTAGTAGCCTAATTCTTTCAGATTTTATATTTTCATATGGATAGGTTCAAAAGTCAGGTTTTAAATTATTTATTTTGGATGTTTACCTTTAAACTAAAACTGAAACTACATAAACACATACTTCATGACTTTATGCACCACAACACATTCATTGCATTGTAATTAGGATTGTAGGATTTAAAAAAAATGGCATTTAAGGTGGTTATTGACCAATATTGATAAAAATATTTTATGATAGAAGGTCTGTTTTTATTTATAGGGGTAAATTACTTACAGCCATATCAGTTTGTTCATTGATGGTGATGTAAGGGAGAGTGCAAGATATTCACTCATATACACTTCATTCTAATATTTGTTTCTCCTTTATTCAGATTTGTTGCTGGGGTTATCCAGCGTGAACGCATCCACGCTTTTGAGCAGATGTTGTGGCGTGTTTGCCGTGGCAACGTGTTCCTCCGTCAAGCTGAGATCGATACTGCCCTAGAGGATCCAAGCACCGTGAGTAAAAGATCACCGTCATTGTTATTGTTGACGGCTATAGGGACCACATTTATCACTTAAAACCCCACTGTACTACTTGTAGCTACTTGCTTCCTCTATATAGTAAACAATGCCTAATCGGTGACCATTGGTCCCCCATGATCCTCTTTTTCTTATGTTAATTGAGAGCTGAGTTGATGAGATAGCAGCCCCTATATATTTTTTACCAAAATCGTTTGGCACATGTCCGGGGTAATAATATACTTGTAAAGCGCTAAGAGACATTTGTATAAAGCGCTATATAAAAATTAAATATTATTATTATTATTATGTCATTTATTTGTAATCTTGAACATTCAGTGTAGGTTTTGTTTGATGATGTGAGAATTTATTTTCTATCATTACCAAACTCAAGCTTATCTTTAAAAGACAGAAATCATGTTGATAGGAAGGCATTACCAAGTGGATTAGACAGGTTTGATCAATGTTTGCATTTTGTTTCATTTGAGTCCTTTTCTTCCTCTTCTTATAACCTCTTTGCAGGGAGATCAAGTCCAGAAGTCTGTCTTCATCATCTTCTTTCAGGGAGACCAGCTCAAAAGCAGAGTCAAGAAGATATGTGAAGGGTAAACCGATTGATAATTATTCTAAGAATGGCCGTGAATTTCATTGCCTTGTTATTACCTATGCACTAGCGTAGAGCTATTGAATATGTCAAAGGACTTGTAGTCCCAGAGCAGGGGATAACCTTGAATTGAAACAGCTAATAAAAAATGGAGTAGATATGGAAATCCCTTTCATCAGATATTTTTCCTTAAAGCAATATTTGAGAGTTATGCAGAAATATCTTTTACCGAAATGATATTATGTTCATGACTAGATTTTATTAGAATGTAGATTATATTTGAATATGAATGGTTATACTCTAAAACATATGAAATACCATGAGTTGTGAGCAGGAAAATATTATGATGGACTCTGAAATACTGAAGAAGGAAATAAAATCTATTTCTGTAAACAAATAAGAATGTGACACCTTTGGATGCTGATTTTAGTTGCTAAGGAAGGAGTACCACAAAGAGTTCTATGTTCTTTCCAGGGATTTTCACAATTCTACGGTTTTGTTGACAGGTTCCGTGCGACTCTATACCCCTGCCATGAGACTCAGGCAGAGCGAAGGGAGACGGCCATTGGTGTCATGACTAGGATAGAGGATCTACAAGTGGTGAGTAATGGGGCTCTTGAGCCATCGTCATCATCATCGTCCTCATTGTCAACATAATCATCATCTTCATCTTCATCATGATGATGATCATCATCATTATCATCATTATCCTCATAATCATAATCATTTTCATCATGGTCATCATCATTTCCATTCATCATCCATTTATCCCCTACTTTTGAATTGGGTATAAAATTTATTCTAAAATAGGCCTTCTTTCTATGCGGTCAAGTCTTTAGCATCCTTAGAGACAGCGCTTTATAAGCAAGGTTTTTATTATTATCATTAATATTATTAATATTATCAAGGTTCGCTAGTCTCAGACCTTCTGCCACAGTCCTAGTTCATGCTTTCCGACACGTGTTTGAACAAATAATAATAACAGTATAATAAAAATACTGATAATATACCTTAAGATCATTTTTCAATCTTTCTTTTTTTTCTTTTTTTCTTCAATATTCAACCTGATGAAATGTTATTCCATGATATCTAACTTTCATGAACCAAGTTTGAATTTTAAGTTGAAAATTTGTTTGTTTGTTGTTTTGGGGGAGGGTATTTGCATGTAAAAGTGTTATTTGTTATAAATATGAATACATGGGTGGTTCAATCTGCCATTAGAAGTGAAAGAGTCAACACCATTGTTGTTAATGCTGTTGTCCCTCCACAGGTCATAAGCCAGACAGATGAGCATCGTCAGCGCGTCCTGGTCTCTGCTGCCAAGAACGTGCGGGTGTGGTTCATCAAGGTACGCAAGCTCAAGGCCATCTACCACACCCTCAATCTCTTCAACCTGGACGTCACCCAGAAGTGCCTCATCGCGGAATGCTGGTGTCCAATCACCGACTTGGACAAGATCCAGATGGCCCTCAGACGAGGCACTGTGAGTAGTACACATCTTGAAAATACATTACACATCTATTCAAAATTGCTTTTAATGATTAACTTACTCTGTTCACATTGATGTATATTTTGTATGTATTGTAATTTGTAGGTTTATCTGCACTTTTTTTGTTTTGTTAACTATATAATACTAATTGTTTATCATTGTATTTTGTTTGTTATAGCGCTTAGAGAGTTTGGTAGTAAGCGCTTTATAAGCACCGTTTTTATTATTTATTATATTATTGAATATGCAATGCAAGGCAAATGCACAGCAATGAAGAGTTCAGCTCCGATATATGAATGCTCCCCAAGGAGTGGAAAATGTGCATACATTGTGTTGCGGGTAAGCCTGAATCCGATGACTGAGGTAATAATGTGTGATGCGCCTAGAAACAAAGTATTACATGCATTATAAATGTGAGCTTTTATTATTATAATTTTTATATGACCCCTATTTTAAACACCATTTTTACCATTTGTTTGAAATGCAGGAGAGAAGTGGCTCAACAGTTCCGTCCATTCTGAATCGCATGGAGACCAGCGAAGACCCACCGACGTATAACAAGGTCAACAAGTTCACCTCCTGCTTCCAGAGTCTGGTCGATGCCTATGGTGTTTGCACCTATGGAGAGGTCAATCCAGGTCAGATAAACTATGATTTACATATGATCTTTTGAACCGCCTCCAAAAAAATAGCCATAATAAATGGTTTAAGTGGATTACTATTCAGTCATTTTATATTGCCACTGGTGTTTTAAAGGTGGCATCATGTCATATGTTAACAGGGCTGCATTAAGAAACTGTGAGAATGTGTACCACTATTATTTGTAGGCCCTTCAAGAATGTGAGCTCAAGAACAGGCTTGAAAATACTTTTGTTAATTTCACATGTTCGTGTTTGCTTATCGTTAAAGCTTGTAAAATTCAACAAAAGCAGGGATAAAAGATCAGAAAATGAGGTATGATTGTTATGCGCAATAAAGAATATCTTTTGATGTCTTTAGATATGTGTCAAAAATCTGTACACTTTCTCCTTTTCCACATGTACAAATCATTGTGTGCCCAGCAGAAGGGTCTAAACAAAACTCTTGGTTAAATAGTTATTTGTAGTTTTGAAATGTATTTCTAAACATATGTACCTTTTTAAATATTTTTTTACCCAGAAAGAAGTAGCTGTGTGCAACAATGGTCCTAGGTATACCCACCTATCTGTGTGTTATAACATAGACAAATTTGAGATTACGTACTGTTAGGTATGCGTTAAAAAACGGTGACGTATGCAAACGAACGGTAATACATGTTTCTTTTGTTTTGCTTCTGTCTGCAGCTCCTTTCACGATCATCACCTATCCGTTCCTCTTCTCCATCATGTTTGGGGATCTCGGTCACGGCACGATCATGTTCCTCTTTGGACTGTGGCTGGTGTTGAGAGAGAAACAACTCCACGCCTCCCTAGCCAACCATGAGGTAAGTGTGACCTTTGGAGTGATGTCTTCAAGTCCTTTGTTTCATCAATCCTATGTCCTGTTAGATTTAGGATTATGGCATGTATGATTATGTCCTTTGAGATGATGTTGTCAAGACTTTTGGCCCATGTGTCCCATGTCCTATAAAGGTTTGGTTAGTGTTAGGGTCCGTAGCCAACCATAAGGTAAGTGTGAACTTTGGAGTGATGTCTTCAAGTCCTTTATTTCATCAATCCTATGTCGTGTTAGATTTAGGATTATGGCATGTATGGTCACGTCTTGAGACAATGTTTTTAAGTCTTTTACCCCATGTGTCCCATGTCCTATTAAGGGTTGGTTAGTGTTAGGGTCCGTTGCCGATCATGAGGTAAGTGTGACCATTGGAGTGATGTCTTCTAGTCCTTTGTTTCATCTATCCTATGTCCTGTTAGGATTAGGGTATGTAGGGTTATGTACTTTGAGATGATGTTTAAGTCTTTTACCCAGGCGTCCTTTGTCCTATTAAGGTAAGGTTGGTTTAGAGACCGTAAGTGCGACCTTTAGGACGATGCCTTCAAGTCCTTTGTTCCATTTTTACTTTGTGGTATACAAAATTTGTTATGTAAATACCCAAAGAAGCAACTCTACACCTCTCAATCCAACTATCAGGTAATTTAGTTGGATAGTGAAGGGGGTCACAGGGGGTGAACAGAGTGGGGGGGGGGGGGGGGTGAAGTGCAATATCATGCTAATCTTCCAATCTATTCATTTGGGACGAATACATTTGAGAATTAATAGCCTGTGTTCATAAAACCTCCTATGTTTGGGACTCAATTTACCATTGTATGTAAACCAAAATCGATCATTTCTTCAGATGCAAACGAGAAGAAGAAAGAAAAGGGTCTGTGTTAATCCAACACCTTCATAAATGTGAATATACATGTATTTGTAAATCTTATTTGGGATAAGATTAACCTAAGATTTACAAACTCTAAAGTGAGTTCAAGGTGATGAATAAGCATCCGTGTTTTGTACATGGCTTGTTAATTCAACCTGTGATTTCGGCAGATTCTATCTGTGATATAGGCAGATTGGGGAACGAGGAGGATGTTGTGTATTTAGGATCACCTCAAGAACCTTCTGACATTTTGTAAGTGAAATAACTATGAAATTAACGAGAGGATTCCCCTTCCCCCCCCCCCCCCCCCCTGCTGTACACAAGTCCTGGGTCCACCCCCTTACTAGGAGCAGTTGTATCATTTAGATTGTAGCCTTTTAGATGTACTAGCTAAATCTGGTAGGAATTTATTCCTTAAAACGCAGCACGCATGACAGCTGCTCTGCTAAAGCCATGCAGGGAAATTATGCTGCATTATTGTAGAGCGCTTAGAGACTTCTGATAAAGCAAGTGTTAGGCGCTATATAAGCAAATATAATTATAATTATTATAATCATTTCTACTTTCTTTGTAGATGTTTGGCACTGTGTATGGAGGAAGGTACGTACTGATGATGATGGGCTTCTTCTCGATCTACACTGGCTTTGTCTACAACGACTGCTTCTCCAAATCATTCAACATTTTTGGATCCACCTGGAACGTGTCTGCTGCAGATTATTCGTGAGTATTATAATTAATAATTGAATATTACTTTGCTATAATAATAATAATAATATCCCGCATTTATATAGCGCCCAATACATCGATTCAAGGATGTGTCTAAGGGCTTTACAGATATATTATTACCTTTTTCATCGGATTCAGGCTTACCTGCACACAATGTATGCACATTCTCCACTCCCTGGGGAGCATTCCAGCCAGTCGCCATTTTACAAGCGCACACTTGCTCATCCAACCACATTAACTTACGCATCCTACCAGGTACCCATTTAACACCTGGGTGGAGAGTGGCAAATGTAGATTAACGTCTTGCCAAAGGACATTAGTGCTGCGGCGGGACTCGAACCGTGATCTGCAGTTGGGTGAATTATCCACTAGACCATTACTGATAACATGATCTCAAAAACTTACATAAAGTCAACCTAAGGCAAATTAAATAGCCTTGTGCATCTCATGATGAAATGTTCGAAGGATACAGCGACATTACGTAATCCAAACAGGATTTCTGTAGGCATTATTTAAATTGGGTATTGAAATTGTCCCAAGTTGATTTCTTGAAAGTCTTAGTGATGGTATTTGATAAAGTCACATTGATTGGGTCATTAGAACAAGAATGTACAAGGGACTGTCATGAAATATTAAGGATATATTGACTGCTTTGAGAGGCATAGTGGTTTCTATAGGGTCAAGGGAAACTCACAACCTGCTATGACCCCAAGGCGCTTGCGCCGCGGGGTCATAGCAGGTTGTGAGTTTCCCGAGACCCTATAGAAACAACTATGCCTCAAATATTAAAAGCAGTCAATATATATTTTATATACCGAAAAAAAGGAAAATGTTGACTCACCCATTTAGGTTTCCATCTCTTTGAAGTCATGAATATTAACACCAACAATAACTTGTGTACAGTATGAAATCCAACAAGCTGTGCTCCAGTAGAACAGGGAATACCAAACGTTGTCCAGGTCTGCATTCGGAAGTCTGTTTACATCTCCGAGGTCCGTGTTGACATTTCGCAAGAACTCTTCAAATATTTTAATGCCATATTTTACTGCATACTTCGTATTTTTGCTATCAGCAGAATCGATTAAGTCTTGCAGCTGAATGTCATCCATAAGTTGAAATCTTGGCATAGCTGTGTCCTCCATTTTGCCTCTTTATTGACAAAAAATTGGAAACAAAAAACCCCAGTATTTTGTGATCGAGACTAGTACACAAAATGGCGATCGGTCGTCTGCGCTGCGTGGATTGGTAGATTCGTCGCCTGAATGCAGCGACCAAAATCGAATTGCACTCAAACACCGTTAACGGTATTGCGCATCGGTCATCGCACAAAAGAAACTTATACGGTAACACGTAAACCAAAATGGGGATCGCAGCAAAATGACGTCACGTTTCACAGCCATGGAAACAGTGCTATGAAAAATGGATATAAACCGGTAGAGCCGGGAAAAATGACTATGAATTTCAATTAGCGGGCATGGTTAAGAACATGACTGCATTTTCAACCAATCAGAAGACAGGATTAGTAAAGAATCTTAAAATGAGGTATATAAACAATGCTATATATAGTAGCATGTAGGAGAGGTGTATATATGTCAAGGTCGACTGGTATAATCACTTTACCGAAAATGCTAAAGGTGTGGGTTCAAGACCTGGCATGGTATGTACATATATGTCCTTGAGCATAGCAATTAATCTACATTATTCTTCTCCACCCATGTGCTAAGTTGGCTTGTACAGGCCTGTCCAAGGGCAACTGGCTGGAATGCTCCCCAGAGAGTGGAGAATGTCCACTATCGTGTGCAGAACAGCAATTTATTCATATGACCAGGGTTACAATAATACATGAGCATTTTGGACATTTGTGACTTGTAAAATGCTTTATAAGGAGCAGTTATCAACTAGGCGTTGTGGCATTCGCCTGTAATCCACCTAAAAGTGGAAGTTACAAACTGATTCAGCCGAGGACGCAGGTTCGAAACTGAGTCGCGTCTTTCAGAGGGTGACGTTTAAAGGTCGGTCCGCAGACGTATTTAATCATATCTGATTGATACACGTCTGTAAAAACCCAATACACACACACACACATTGCTTAGACTGTTATGATTTGTTTTGTTTTGTTTCAGTCACGAACTATTGGAACAGGACATCTCCCTTGTCTTGGATCCAAAGTTGACTTTCAATGAAACAGACCCTTATCCATTTGGAGTAGATCCAGTAAGTGCTCAGAGTCTTTTTTATCCAATGAATATCTTGGCCCCGTCTTACAAAGAGTTACGATTGATCCACATCAATCGCAAGTCATCCAATCAATCGCAATTTTGCAGTCTCCTATCTCTTATGTACATAGTTACGATTGATATCAACTCTAAGACGGGGCCCAGAAATGTATTTCTAATGTTTGGGAAATCTAAACCTTACAGCAGTTTGCTGTATAAAAAAAAAGAACAGGATGCATTCATTTGGAGTAGATCCAAAGAATGTTCACTTGTTTGATAACAGAATTCAGTGCAATACTAAATATAAGTATGTTAACAAGTTTTCATCCGACTTTGGTATTCAGTTAAGGTTTTTGGCCAAGTTCAAGATTTCTCCCTAGCAGCCTTAAGCCAATTATTTTGGTAGCCTTGTCTGGCAGTTAACCCAAAAGTCGTTTTTCATACGCAGCTTGTAGTAAGCTGCCTGTACACGGAGAAAGTATGTTTGCATGCATTTAATTTTTAGCTAAGCAAAATGGTCAGTAAAAATTCAAATGTTGAATTGAATATTTAGCACTAACTAAGAACAGAAATGATTTTCAAACTCTTTGACAGAAACACATTATGTACTAAATGTGTATATGAATGACTTCATGTTTCTTCATATTATTATTATTATTATTATTTTAGATTTGGCAGCTGGCCTCCAATAAGATCAACTTCTTAAATTCCTTCAAGATGAAGATGTCCGTCATCTTTGGGATTGGTCAGATGTTGTTTGGAGTCATTCTCAGTCTCTTCAACCACATGTGAGTCCTGGGGGGTGTTTCACAAAGATCATAAGTCAAAATTAACTTCTAAGTTGGACTAAACAATTATGGAAAGCCATTAGCATCCTTGAAAATATTTTGTAAAAGTTATTTTAAAAGGCATAAAATGTTGATTCCAAGCATTCATATTTTCTATTATCATGGGAGATTTCATGCTCTTGATGTGAAATTTATGAAAAGTCTAAAATACTTCAATTTTTGCTTTTGAATATATTTCATTATAAGGCTACAAATGGCTCTCCATGATATTTAAGTCCAACTTAGAGTTAAGTCCGACTTAGAATCTTTGTGAAACACCCCCCAGTTATCTAACAGCAGATATATGTATCACTTTCACCTACTTTAAAACCAGAAAACCGGCAACTATATTGTAGTGGTACGTCAGTTGTGATTTTTTTACTTTGTATCATGGAACTTGTGCAAATCTGGAAGGTTCTGGTTTGACAATATCCACCTCAAGAGGTGCATATGGTGCCTCCAAGTCACTTCAAGTACCCCCGGTTAACATAGGGTTAAATGACATCTTGTTTACTTCCAGGCACTTCAAGAGGTCGATCAATATCTGGTGCGAGTTTCTGCCCCAGTTGATATTCATGCTCTCCATCTTCGGCTATCTGGTGTTTCTCATCTTCTACAAGTGGCTCTTCATCGATGTTTGGAACATGCATAATGCCCCCAGCCTCATCCTCACCCTCATCAATATGGGACTTCTGACTCCACCCGATCCAGTCATGTTCCCCGGTCAGGTAAGCAAGCATACAAAAGGAGGATGATATAGGCATTTTAATGTCTTTTAAAAGGCAAAGTATGATATTCATTTTTGTTTAAAGGACATTTATCTGAAAAATAATATGCACTTGATAATCCTAGTACGTTTCTGGCAATTTCGTCATTCCTAATTATGAAATTATCAAACTATCAAATCGGACATGCCCGCAATGACATCAAATGCGTCATCAAGCCACGTGACCGTATTACCTTTTTTTTCGAGGGGCGTAGCCCAGCAAGCGTGAGAACTGTGAAAAATGGATGGCTATTATCATTTTTTGGTCAATTTAGAGATTTTCTGAAAAATCAGAGGCTGGAATATTAATAAGTAGAGGTGTATTCATGTTTTGAAAGGCTATGTTAGTTGGGTTAGAGTGGCCCTTTAAGCTGAGTAACATATTAACTAAAGTTAAGTTTAAAGATGTAGTCGAGTTCTGGTCACGTAATTACATTGAGAAACCATAGGAGCAAGTGAGTAAGGTTGATTATAAGAATTGGTGTAGCCTTTGAGGTTTTTTTAATCATCAAAACAAAAGGAAATGTACTCTTATTTGTGTACAGTGCTTTTCACCGTGTGATTTTCAGAAAACTTGATTAGAAACCTCATAGTATGGAGTGTTCTTAAAAATATACTACGCAGTCAACCTTTCCTGATAACTTCTAGATGGATTCCTTCATAGTGTAATGGCATGACTAGTACTCAACTTTATATTTTACCCCAAATATGCCACTGATTTTTCACGTAGAATGGAGGCCTTCATTGAATTCATCCAAATACGGTAGTGCCAACAAAGACAGCATGTGAGATGTATCTTGTACACAGTAGTCCTTTTCATCTCTTTCTCACTCTCTCTCTCTCTCTCTCTCTCCCTCCCTCTCTCTCTCTCCCTCTCTCCTCTCTCTCCCTCTCTCTCCCTCTCCCCCTCTCCTCCTCTCTCTCTCTCTCTCTCTCTCCCCTTTCCCTCCCTCCCCTCCTCTCTCTCTCTCTTTCATTGAAATTTTAACAAACGATTACAATTCCTACTAGCTAAATATACCATGTACAGAAGAGGTTATTTTATGTTATTCCTATTTTTTTCCATGCTCTTTCAGGTGGAAATCCAGAAGATTTTGATCATCATCGGTGTTGCATGCATCCCTTGGATGTTGTTTCCTAAACCTATAATTATGAAGTTACAGCACGACAAGAAAGTGAAGAAGGTCAGTTATTTTCCCTTATGTTGTCTGTGTGCTCAATGCACATTTGACAATTTGGATTAAATAACAATCTATATAAGTAATACGCTAAGGCTCCGCGGGGGGCGCGACGTCTCCGCGAGCCTTTGTATCTTATTGTTTATTAATGAGATCGCCGACCGAAGTTGGTGCAGCTATCTCCTCCTGAACCCTCCCCTCGGGGTACCCGTGCCCGGTGCCATCGTCCGCGGGAGAGTCTACTCTGTGGAATTGGCTATACTCCGCCCGAGGTCCTCCTCCGTGTCGACGTCCAGGGCGAAAACAGACGCGACATGCATAATGCAGGATATGCGTGACGACAGAGATACCTCATGGATATTCAACATGACATCCGTAGACACACGACCGATGACTATCCACTCACATTAAGTTGCGTATTAAATGCACCATGCACAGGGTTGGGATTACCCGAGTAAAGCATCTTTCTACAGGATATCCTTTGTAGTAGCGCTGCACAAGCCAGAGAGATACACGGGGCTAATTCCCGTCGACGTCCAAACTTAGAGTTATAGAGACCTATTTCCATCATGATTGCCGCGATTTTTATATAGTTTTCGTGAATGGAGGTATGAAATCAAAGCTTATTTTGTGATTATTACGGCAATGTATACTAAAATTTGATTATCATTTTCTAAAGGAAAGTTTTCACAAGAAAACCATTGGACTGACAATTCAGTCGCAAGCTGCCTTCAGTCAACACAAAGTGCAGTGCTGCTGTGTAGTGTGGATATCCTTTGTAGTAGCGCTGCACAAGCCAGAGAGATACACGGGGCTAATTCCCGTCGACGTCCAAACTTAGAGTTATAGAGACCTATTTCCATCATGATTGCCGCGATTTTTATATAGTTTTCGTGAATGGAGGTATGAAATCAAAGCTTATTTTGTGATTATTACGGCAATGTATACTAAAATTTGATTATCATTTTCTAAAGGAAAGTTTTCACAAGAAAACCATTGGACTGACAATTCAGTCGCAAGCTGCCTTCAGTCAACACAAAGTGCAGTGCTGCTGTGTAGTGTGTGTGAGTTGCGATGAGCTTGCAGGAAGCTTTAACACCGGCACCGCGCACCGTAGGCGTCCGACGCCTGCAGCGCCGGTGTTCGAGCTTCCTGGAGTTACGCTGTAGTGTGTGTGAGTTCACGTGAGCTGAGCTTGAGTCGAAGAGATTTGACACTTTGAAATTGTTATCTGTTGGTTTGCATCATTATTGTATGCCGCGATTTCAATATAGTTTCGTGAATCGATTTACGAAACCTGAGCTTAGAATTAGTAAAAGTATTACAATGTCTACATGTATAAATGACTGTCTGATTTTCTTGTGAAAATTTTACTTTGAAAAATGATTATCGCAATTCATGGTCAGAAATAATCACAATCTAAGGTCTATTATGTTACAGTTCTTGCATCAAATCAATGCATGAAAACTTAGTTATTGAACTAGAAAAATGTTTTTTTTTTTAAATAGGCAATTATGAAGTAGGAAGCCTGAAACCTTAGCCTACTAAACAAATCTCAACAAAGTGTAGGCCTATCCTTTTATGAATTAATGAAAAAGTAGCCCCAGAAAAAAGAGCCCCCGAAAGTTCATTACGAAAAGCTCTCGTTAAAACTATACCCCACCACTATAGCACAGCAGTCAATGTAATCTGGTGGGGTAGCACTACCCCAGATTCGTTTCTCTCGTTAAAACTTTGTAATCTGGTGGGGTAGCAATACCCCAGTTTCGTTTCTCTCGTTAAAACTTTGAGAGAGCTACTACTATTACACAGGCACCAATGGGAATATGATGGGGTCTCACTACCCCACTTTCAATTCTCTCGTTAAAAACTTGGACAGAGCCTTGAGGCTTTGAGTGAGAGATTAAGATATTGGATTGCAGCTGGACTCTACATCATCTTACGTAATACTAGTGTAAACAAACTCTTACTGGGGTCTGCCTGAAAGGAAATGAGAAGTAGGAAATAAGTATTTTACTTGTTTTAAGATATTTTCATGTCCTAAAGTCACTAATAATTTAGATGAAGACCAAAATGAAAGTTCGAACGAAGCAAAATGACCCATAATTGGCGATATAACAACAATTTTAACTCTGGCAGCGAACCCCTGCATGTGTCTCTTTCTCCCTTCTCCCTTCCTTTCCCCTTGTATCATGTTTATCTCTCTCTCGCTATCACCTCATCAAGGTCTCGGTGGGGGTGGATTACAGCGCTAGTGTGTACTTACGGCTTATCACAATCTCAGCTCTAGTACAAGTAGAAATGGTGAATGTCAAATGGGGGTTTCAATTTTAAACGACGAGTTTTCGTCATGTTGAAAAAGTAGCCCCCAAAAATTTCCTAAAAATTTGAAATGGAGCCCCCGAAATGAAAAACTTAATTTTTTGCCTGCGCCCCCCTCTAGAATCCCGTGGATTTCCGCGGGTCCTGAGTTGAGTGTATATATAATATAGGCGTGGGGTCCACGGGTTTCAAGGGGCCATAAACCCCCTGAAAGCTTGGGGGGTTTAGGCGTTTAATTAGGGTCAGATGAGCATATTTTTCATACTTTATTTGTGACACTTGCGGGTCACTAATTAGCGTGGGGTCAATACGTAGAGTTGCGTAGTGTTGCGTACCAACTACGCTGGCCTACGTTACTATATGCCGAGGGACGGAAAGGGGTACGCAAGATGAACGAAAACAATTCAACATGTTTAATTTTTTCGCGTACTTTCGGCGTAGAAACTTGACGCAGAAAGTACGCCTTTTTACGCAACACTACGCTACATGACTACGCAACAGTACGCTACCCTACGCCAGATCGACAAAGCAGTTAAAGCTTTCCACACAGTAAGCAACCATAAGCAAACCTGTACGCCAGCCTACGCATAACCTACGCAGGGACTATTTTCCCATTAATACGCAGCCTAATTGCTGCGTAGTCGGTACGCCACACTACGAAACTCTACGCAGTTCCAGTGGCTTAAAGAATAACTACCGGTACAGTTGGATCGTTTTTGTTTTTTTTATATAACGCCAAATTAAAAAAAAAACCTGTTTATAGCGTCCTGTTTTTTCAAAAAATGGGAAGGAGGCCCTTTTTTTTTTTTTTTTTTTATTCAAAATGGCAACTCCGTACATTTTCCCTGACATTCGGGCTATTTTTCAAGATGGCGGCCGACAATTTTTTTTTTCTCTTTTAAAATCAGAAATTCATTTTAGCAGTGCTTTGCATGTTTTTTTTCTTTCAAAAAAAAAAAAAAAATAGGAGGTGGCCCCCAAAAAGGAAGCAGGAAGGGACGCTGTTTTTTTTTCTTTCAAAAAAAAAAAAAATCAGAAATACATTTTAGCAGTGCTTTTCATGTTTTTTTTCTTTCAAAAAAAAAAAAAAATAGGAGGCGGCCCCCAAAAAGGAAGCAGGCGGGGACGCTGTTTTTTTTTCTTTCAAAAAAAAAAAAAAAAAAAAAAAATCAGAAATACATTTTAGCAGTGCTTTTCATGTTTTTTTTCTTTCAAAAAAAAAAAAGGAGGCAGCCCCCAAAAAGGAAGCATTTATATTTTTTAATGGCCTGAATGGCAAATAAAGTTCTTGGTGGTTTTAATTTAGACAGTCTCTATATATCTATTTACACCCCCCGCCCCCTCTAGAATCCCGCGGATTTCCGCGGGTCCTGCTAGTAATATGTATGTTTTACCAAGGGTAGCCTCATCAGTATCGACTGTTATTCCCGAGGGTCCTGTAAGCACAATATGGCATAGTTTTGCTCTGAGCTCATTTCTTTTTTAAAGTATATATCAGTATGATTATTGATTACCCCATTTATACTGGGATTTAGACTGCCTCATGTCCTTTCCAGGGGCGGTCTACCTCCCGGTACAAGTGGGTAAGAAGAATTTAGGGTGCCTCATAGTTAGCGCCGTCCAGTGGATACCCCAGACTGGTCCAGGGGCGCCCTAACTCCAGTATGAATGATCGCAGTGATCTAAGAGGGTTACCATGGCAACATTCTTGTGCAGTTGGGTGGTCCTTAATGGCATCGTTTAACAATGTTAAATCTGAGATGCATGGCCCTATGTGGTATCAGTGTCTGTGATATGGTGTAATATTGAAGCCCAAAATGATCATGAAGTGCCTCAAAAAAGTAAAAAATCTTTGAGTGACCCGTTTTACCATACTCATTTTCCCCAACAGACTGTAGTGTTATGAAAACCGTTAGAAAAACGCAAAATGAAATTTCGATTTTCATAAATACCTTGATAATCTGACAGACGATCGACTTGTAAAAGTCATGGGATTCCTGAATGACTTAAAGGTTTATAATTATGATTGCAGCATGAGTTACCAGATCCCTTTAATGGCAGTATAAATAGATTTGGGCCTGTCTAAAAAGTTGGGGGCACTCCAAGAGTGCCCTAAATTTGGGCAGCAGTATTAATGGATTAGTGGTGAGTTCCAAATTACCCCCTTGCACGTTTATCTTTGCAGTTTCATATATGTTACTTAATTATTGTATTTTCATTTTCATTTTTTATTATCATGTTATTGTTATACGCTGTTAGTTAAGTAAGAGCATTTGTTTCGTCTTAATCAAGCACAATGTCCATTTCACGTTTCTTGTTGATCCTTATTACATATTTAGATTAAACGTAAATTTGATTTCATTTGTTATGTAGAGCGCTTAGAAACTGTATCTGTATACCAGCGCTGTATAAATCTTAGATATGATTATTATTTGTATTATTATTTGCATGACCAGGCTGTGATGTATCGTGACGTACGTATGCTGTCGGGTAAGAGTGAGGAGACTGCCGAGGTACTGCATCATGATGAACTAGAAGCAGAGACAAGCGGTGCCGCTCACAATGCTTCAAAGGATGATGATGTGAGTAATCATACCTTTAAAGAGAAGGTTGAGTTCTGGGAAGAGGTGAAAAATAATTTGAGAGTGTTATCATTTTTATTGCGCAAGTGTGGAAGAACATCAGATAGGACATGTTCCCTGAAAAGCATGGCTCTTCAAATGCCTTCATATTCTAAATATGTCATGTAACATCCTACAAATCCAGGGTAGGATTTTTATGCCAGGTGTTCGTGTAGTCCCATATACATCTTTCTGTGTACAGTCTTTGTAACTTTACCAAGACTTGGCCAAATTTCTTATCATTTTGATGATTCCAGAACCTCGCAATACACACAAATTCTTATATGCTAGATGATCAACCTTTCCTGGTTGATTCCACACCGTTTCTTTCACAATGCAATCGCATGACCAGAACTCAACTTCATCTTTGATAGTTATGGAAGAAAAGGTTGGAGATCCTAGCAGCTCACAGTATTGTCGAGGTCTAAATAAATCACTTTTTCCACTTCAAATGGGAAGTGATTATCCTTAATTTCTACTCCTACATGGTTAAAACAAAATACAAATAAATATGAAATGAACCAATGTAAATGGCTAAATTCAACATAAAAATGCCACTGTGTACACAAAATAGTGATGATATATTTCACACTGTGTTGCCAATTTTGATATTGTAATGATTATGTACAATTAAATTGTTCTTATTCAAGAATGCCACAATGTACTGCATGGGAAATGGACTTATATTTTCTGTGATTTTTGTTCCTCCTGATCATGGACAATATGTAATTTCTATAAATTTGAGAAATATCACTAAAAGGTGACACTGTACTGATTTTTGAGATAAAGTTGAGTTATGATCAAGGGATTTTACTTTGATGGACATAATCTGTCTGAAAGTCAATGAGAAAGATTGATTGTGATTACTGTGAGGTTTTTGAAAATGTAAAAATTTTAAGAAATTGATTCAGTCTCGCAGAAAGTCACTTGCACTGCACAAAAAAAATGTGTACCCGGGATTGCACACACATGTGGCGTGAAAGTTTGGTACAAACATATCACATCTTTCTTGTCATATTTCAAATATGAGGGCATTTGATTTAGAGTGATACTTTCTAATTTCTTCTCTAATATTCTCTCAAACTGAAATGAAATTGATGAGAAAGCTCACCCCCAAAAAATCACATTCATTAGAACACAAGCTCTTTAGTTGAATGATTGTGATCTGCAAGGTTGACATCTATCCAGGATATCGGAAAAACCTGAAAGAAAATAGATCTCTTTTTTTTTTTAGACAGAGAAATGTCTTAGAGTTTGTAGAAAAAACATATCAAGCTATGGAAAAATCAGGGAATTTCAATGACCCTCAGAAAGAAATTTAGTGTACTGTGGAGCCCTGTACATGTAGCTGCAATAGTAGGTTTAAGAGGAATGGTTAGTGGGAATGGTTAGTGATGTGTTTTTTTTTCTTACATGAATATTTTTTCTTTATTCCAGTTTGATTTTGGTGATACATTCGTCTACCAAGCTATCCACACCATTGAGTACTGCCTTGGATGTATCTCACATACAGCATCTTATCTACGACTCTGGGCTCTCAGCTTGGCTCACGCTGGTAAGGCAATGGTGATAGTGATGGTGGTGGCGGTGGTAATGGTGGTAGTGATGTTGGTTGTGGTGGTGGTGGTGGTTGTTGTTGTGATGGCTGCAGTGGTGGTATGGGTGTTAGAAATGATAATAATAATAATATGGTTAATTATATAGCGCCGGTATCCATCAGGTTCTGACGCTCATGGCGTTTTACACATATTACCGTGGTCGTAACAAGGGTGCCAAAGTAACTAGCGCTCAAGCATATCAGGTACCCATTTACACCTGGGTGGAGAGTGGCAAATGCAGAGATGCCAACCAGTACGATTTAATCGTATTTAGTACGATAATAAGAGTGAAATGCAATCTTAAAATCTCAAAATACAATTTTTTATTTTTTTACCCATAAAATCAGTGGAATCGCATAGTAATATGTACAAGTAAACCCCCGCAACCCCAACCAAAACTTTGCTTTCCTATTTTCTCATTAAATTTTAACGAAAGAGCAAACATTTTTCTGAAATTTTACTGGCCCGGAGGCGACGGTCCAGTGGTAGTGTTGAGCTTTTGTGAAAATCTGATTTTTTAGGATACTGTTTTTTTGTGTCAAGAGGTCAAGACGTCTTGCCAAAGGATATTAGTGCCGCGGCGGGACTTGAACCCTGTACCTTGTGATCTGTAGTCGGGTGATGGGTGGTAGTGGTGTTGGTGATGGTGTTAGAGGCATAGTTAGGGGTGTAGAGGTGTTGTGGTCTAGTGAATAAGTCTTCAGACTGTGAACCACAAACCACTGAGTTTGAATTCTCAGCGACATTAATGTCCTTTGGCAAGACGTTAATCTACATTTGCCACACTTGACCCAGGTGTAGTGAGTGGGTACCTGGTAGGATGTATTCCATGAATGTACTGAGTGCTATGGTTGCTGGAGCTAAAGAATATTCAAAGTCCTTTGGAAGTGCATAGAGACATTATATCATAATATGATTTGCACTGTACAGGAACGGCATATTATTTATTATAGGCGTTGATCATGGTGTTAGTCATGGGCTTTCCGTTTGGATCGTGCTGGTAATATGAGAGTGTTCATGGTGATAATGGTGGTATGGTTATAAATGGTCATGGTAAGGGTAGCATCGGTGTTGATAGTAAACGATGGTGTTGGAGGTGATGGTCATGGTGATATTACATGTATTAGTGGTGGTAGTAGTGATGGTACACGCAGTGGCGGTAGTAGTGGTGGTGATACCTCATAGTGTGGAGATTCTGTTTGAGGCTCTTACCCAATTTCTGTACATCTCAATTCTTTTTTTCAGAGTTGTCTGAAGTGCTGTGGAACATGATGCTGGCTATAGGTCTGAGGATGAACGGGTATGTGGGAGCGTTTGCAATCTGGGCCATCTTCGCTATATGGGGTGTCCTGACAATCAGTATCCTCCTCTTCATGGAGGGACTGTCTGCCTTCCTTCATACTCTGCGACTTCACTGGTAAGACTGTCATCTCTCTCTTTCTTTCTCTCTCTTTACCTACCTCTCTCTCCTATCTTCCTCTCCCTTATCTTCCTTCATACTCTGTGACTTCACTGGTAAGACTGTGATCGATCTCTCTTTCTCTCTCTCTCTCTCTCTACCTCCTCCCTCCCTCTCTCTGTCTCTCTCTGTCTCTCTCTGTCTCTCTCTTCCTCTTTCTTTCTCTCTCTTTCCCCCTCTCTCTCTCCCTCTCTCTCTCTCTCTCTCTCTCCCTCCCCCTTACCGCCTCTCTCTCTCTCTCTCTCTCTCTCTCTCTCTCTTCCTCTCCCTTTCTTCCTCTTCCCCCATCTACCTTCGTGTTCCGCACTTTAAGTAATCTGTTCTCCAAAACGAGTAACTTGCCAAGAGATACTATACATGTAACTTTTCAGGTGTTGCTGTCCTAGGTGACAAGTTGTCTTTAGTGGCTATTTGATGGGGTGAAGTTGCCCAGCGGAGAGTTGTCTCACACTCTACACTTGTACAGTTTGTTCTGTCTCATTTATTTCTCATGTGACTTCTCCTTAGTTGGTACTCGAGGCTAAACCATTAAGCCCCAATTCACAAAGGAGGTTTAAATTTAACCCATGGTTTTAACCCTCATTTACATAACCCATGGTTTAAAACTGAAATTAGCGCATAATAAGCGTACCTTGCCTAGCGGGCATCTAATATTGGACATCTGACTGTCACGCTTATTTTGCACTAATTTTAGACCATGTGTTATGTAAATGAAGATTTAAACCTCCTTTGTGAATTCGGGCCTTAGAGATCATTACATTTATATTGGACATTCATGTCCCATATGCTTCATCACTGTTTTGCTTGGTATTCTACATAATATGTTTCTCCTTTTCTCTCTCTCTCCAGGGTGGAATTCCAGAGCAAGTTCTTCAAAGGAGAAGGATACGCCTTCATCCCGTTCTCCTTTGATATCATCCTTCAGGCCGAGGAAGAGTAAATCATCGTCATCATCATACATCTCAAATTCGTCCTATCCCAATATAACTGTTCCCAAGCCCCATAAGACACAGATAACCTTGCAGCAGAATTGCCAAATCTTTCTGAAAACCAATACTTAAAATTACAAATGTAATCACTTGATATACTTTACTATGAAATACATTCAGCAGGTGGCGTGTGTTTCTAAATTTGTATAGATTGTCATTACTAGATCTTGACCTTTTAAAGTGAACTATGAACCTGTAAAGAGTTCCAAGGATGAAAGAATTCATCTGCTTGATTTCCGACGTGAATGTATTGCAGCTGAACACCTGCATTTTGAATGAATCATACATTTTATTCAGAAATGTAAAGAAATCTGTGAACATTGACAAAATAACATCTGTAACCCTGATCCATTTTGTAGATCACTCCGTGTTTTACCATACTTCTGAACCAAGCTATGATAGTTACCGACTATTTCAATAGCATCACACCTTAAAGGCAGGGTAATTTACAAGATTGCTACCACTGCTTGAATGTATTTTCAATTGCGCCATCTCTTGGTAACGGCATACATAGAGCGATTTTCCGTTTCCTGTATCCAAGCATCATCACGCACGTGACATCAGTCGGTGATGCATTATGGGACTTGGCTGTTGATACATCGGGACATTGTGAGCAGCAGATGGCAGTATATATAAATCTAAAGAAGTGTCAGTAGATAACCCTACCTTTAAAGTTACATTTATATTTCGTACAGGACAAATTTAGAGTGTATTACGCTCTTTCACCACTATTATCTTTTTATCTGTAACCATTTGATCATTCTACATTGTGTTGGTAAGAATATAGATATATATTTTGATTAATTGATTATATAATACAAATGAGATTATACTATATTTAAAGAGAATTTGAGAAGTATTTATGATTTTTTTTCTTTGAATTTGAAGCCAAATGTTACGTCAGCATTATGTGTCTGGAGAAACTCCCCTATGAATTTCCTTTTCTTTTTTGTTTCAAACATTAGATCCTCACTAATTATGTGAACAATCTGACAGTCTATGTTTTAAAACATACTGTTTGTATTTTGTTTTGTTTATCTCTTCTTTTCTTTTCTTTTTCACCATTTTGGACTACAGTATATTTTGGGCAAGAGTAAATGTATCTTCTTTTTTTTTTGTTCATGTCTTTTTTTGTCTTTGTCATAGTAATTTTTGCTTTTAAATATGAAAGCAAACTAACATTTATCATACATACATGTACGGTGAGGTCTAATGGTACTTGTGTTAACATTCCTTTTTAAATCACAACATAAATTATAATTATATTTGAGATAGAGGAAGTAGAACAAAGGTTCTTTTTAATATAATTCTAATGAATTGGAGCCTATATTGAAAGATATTAACAAAAGGATATTTACATAATGTATTTTGGAAATACAGGTAAGGGGATGAAAGTTGTACATGTATTTACACTGCCATTTTCATAAATTGTGTAAAATTTGGCAATATATAAATGTTCACAGTATATGTAAGCCTTGCAAATCAGAGGGAGCCAACATATTAATGTACAAATGATGACATTCAGGGAACAATGTGCATAAATGAACACTGGACATGCTAGATATGTAATTTGTATGCGGTGTTAATGAGATGTTGCAATATCTGTAATTTCACTGCGACATGTTTTATTTTTTGTTCGTGATGAAAAGCCGTGCCTTTCTGAAAAACAAATCACCTTTTCTGAGGTAGAAGGGCATCATGTCACTTAATTAATACCTACATGTAGCTATTGCACTTCAAGCTTTCAACTAACAAATTATTCCCATGAATACTTAAGGTATGAATGCTATGTAGAATATTAACTATATATTGGGCATTTGAGAACATACTAACACTGTAAATTGATTTAGATTTGATACATTTTTATAAAACATATCATTGTTAAAAGGTATTTCACTGTAGTACACACAACTCACATACATTTGTAGAGAATGTACCCTTGCTAATGTATTTTTGTATGAGCTATATGCCAAGGTTCCTCTTCTACACACGTTTTAAATTCACAACACTTTTAACTCATTGCTTACAGGAACCTAGTGGTCCCTGTGTTAAGCCTATGGCAATAAGATAATTCAGTAGCCAATGAGTTAAGCCTCGTTCAGATATGGCGCAGTATTACCACCAAGCTTGTTTACATGTAATTGAATGGCAATGCATGCAACAAAGGACTTCCACATATTTGATTAGCTCTGTGTTATAAGATAGAGAAACTTGAAGCATATTACACTTACGTCATTATTTTTAACAAAAACACTACATGTCTTGTCTGAACGCACTTTAACTATGACATGAGTCAGTTCTCATTTCTTAATTGTCACTGTAGATTTATTTCAATAGATTATATGTGTGTTATGAATGGCTAAAAAGTGCTTCTTAGACATAATACATCGAAATGCCTTCTGTGTGTATTGTAGCGCCAATCAGTGTAACCCATGAATTGTTTCACAAGAGTGTTTTAAGTGCAAGGTCACTTAATGAAACATGTGGTAATTTAAATATACACAATCCAATCGGATATTGGTGAATTTGTACGTAGGATAGTTTTGAGAAACGATGACTATTACCGGTAGGCTAAATTTGATCCATTCTTAAGAGGAGTGGAATGATGACCTGTCTCTTATTAACTTGATGATGTACTGCTTAGCATAAGGTCAAAATATCACCTGGAACTGACTTAAGTACTTCATATCTGCATTTGAAACCAAAATGGTGATGTGATCTTAATGTAACGAAAGTACTGATTAATAAAAGATAACTCATGTAGATTATACAAACTTTTTGTGTATTACTGTTTTCAATATTCTTGTACCTGTTTTTGTTCAATTGAAGTTTTGTTCATATTATTAGATACTGAGGAACAGATGGAGTATATCAGTTAAGGACTTCAGGGAGCGAAAGAGAGAGAGAGCGAGAGAGAGAGAGAGAGAGAGAGAGAAGTTGAAGAGAGAAAGAAAGGGAGAAAGAATAGTAAAAAGAGAGCGAGAGAGTCAGATCCAATATTGACACAGGAACAAGAGATTTAAAAAACTGAAAAAGATCGATGATGACTGAGGATACAAGGGGCACATAATTTTCATGAGAAATTACAGAGGAAAAAATAGTGATTTAATTAAAACTCTAGTCCTATTTCATTTGCAAATGCTCCAAAAACTGGAAGGAAGAGAGAAAAGGGGAGAAAATGTACTTTTAATTCAGCAAATTACTCTGTGAAAATAGAACAGAAAAGGGCAGGAAGAGATTGAAAAATTGAAAAGAGATGAAATGCTAGAATTTTCATAAGAAATTACAGAGGGAAAAAAAAGTGATTTAATTAAAACTCTAGTCCTGTTTCATTTGCAAATGCTCCAAAAACTGGAAGGAAGAGAGAAAAGGGGAGAAAATGTACTTTTAATTCAGCAAATTACTCTGTGAAAATAGAACAGAAAAGGGCAGGAAGAGGAGGTGGCGTGGATCAATCATATCATTATTTATTGTATCATCACCACAAGCACGCAAACACAAGACATTTTCGTATTGATAACATATTTTTAATTTATACCATACTTTTTGGCTGCAGAATTACAAAGTAAACTGAACTATGATCTTCGCTCTGCCTTCGTTTTTAATGCTTGACATCCCAATTATTATTTTTTTTTTTTTACAGAAAAATAAATAACGGTCTAGATCTAGATCGATAAATATTTTTTTTTAAATGAAATGGGGGGAAAAAATGAAATTAAAGAAAGACAACAAAAATAATGAATTAAAAAAAAAAAATCTGCCCGCCGGTGTGACCGCACCGTTTGTCCTACCAGTTTCGTTTGTCCGTCGGACATAACATGCGGGTTTTCTGCTCGCATCGATCGTCCGAGGGACGATCCGTGCGGTTTGCTATCCGCACAGTCTGTCCTCATTTTGTTTTACGTGTATATTTGATAAAAGGAAGCAACTCGGTAAATCATGTGGTAGACATTTTTTCTAGATATTACATAATAATAACTCTCTACAATTTTGTTAAAGCAAATGGGCCAGTCCTTTTGAAAGTAGAAGTGAATATTTTATTTAAAACCTTTATTCTATGAATATCGGCCCCAAAACTGTTGTAATTGATTATACTTTTGTACGTGGCTTCGTTCTTCAACCAACTCACTACTAGTATATACTCGTGATCCAGGAAAATAAAAGTGATTGAAAATGTGGTTGAAAGTGAGTGGGGGAGGCTAGAGTATTTAAGATAAGGTAGAGCGTAGCACAAATTGGCGGATGCTCAGGGTGTAGGGGCATTTAATTACGGTCAGATGAGCATATTTTCATACCTTATTCATGACACTAGCAGGTCAATAATTGGCGTATGGTCCAAGGGGTGGAGCCCCCGGAAGCGCAGGGGTTTTAGGCATTAAAATTACGGTCAGATGAGCATCCAGGGGCCAGCCTTAGGGCACAAGGTGGGATCAAGGGGGCAGAGCCCCCGGAAGCTCAGGGGTATGGGCATTTAATTACGGTCACATGAGCATACTTTCTTTTCTATTTCTTTCTATTTAATTATCTTTAATATACTTTTTCAAAAGTGTGGGGGGGGGGGCTTGAGCCCCCAAGCCCGCCGTTCCACAGGTCCTGACAAGTATTGTTTTCCTGATCCGTATATAGGACAAGGCCCTGGGGCAGCTTGCCATGCATAATCCGATTTGGGTCGTTTTCCGGTCAGAACTAGCCCTTACTATCATTCCAGGATTTTGTTTCAGAACCTGAGACAAAGTTACCCAATCCCTTTAAGTTTCAAAAAGTAGACTTCATTGACAAGTACAAAGGCTTAGGGACCGGGGGGGGGGCTTGGGGGGCTCAGATATCATTGAGCCCCGCAAAATATTTTGCGGGGCTTAGATATCATTGAGTCCTTAGGGGCTAAGATACCATTGAGCCCCCAATATTTAAGCGGTGCTCAGATATCATTGAGCCGCCCCCGATACTTATTGCGGGGCTCGGATATCATTAAACCCTCCCCCCCCCCCCCTCCTCCCCAATCATTATATTCTAGGCATGAAACTCATGTATACCTATAATCTACAGGCTTACCATTCAAATATAAATATTTTATAAATATTTATTTGGGGAGGAGGGGGGGGGGGGCTCAGACATCGGATCTCGCATACCATTGACCCCCAAAAATATATTTGGTGGATCTCAGATAATTATCATTGAAACCCCCAAATATTTTGGCGGGACTCTGATATCATTGAGCGCCCCCCCCCCCCCCATATTTTGGTGGGGCTCAGATATCTTTGAGCCCCCCCCCCCCTCCCATATGTTTGTGGGGCTCAGATATCACCCAATTGTTTTTTGTGGGGCTCGGATAACATCACGGAGCCCCCTGATATTTGTGTGGGGCTCGGATAACATCACGGAGCCCCCCGATATTTTGTGAGAGGCTCGGATATCATTGAGCCCCCCCCCCCATATTTTGGCCGGGCTCGGTTATCATTATCATTATAGATTGGTGCACATCATTATGCTCGATCATCCTCTCCTATCTGTTTGATTTCATTCCTCTTTTAGTCATCCTTTATTTACTACCTATGATATTTGATAAATACCTATATATGCAAAATAAACCCTGGAGGTTTAAAGTTGTAAAGTCCAGGGCAGTTCAACACACGCAATCATGAAATAAGGATGTCTTCATCGAAGGGGGAGAAACTGAATTCAGACAATTAGGGTTAAGAGTAGAGAACGGTACACAACAAATCGTCTTCTTTCTATAATAACTTAATGAAACGTCTAAGCTTCCGCGCTGCGCGTGGGATGGGAAACTGAATTCAGACAAGGATTAAGAGTCGAGAACGGTACAACAAATCGTCTTCTTTTCATAATAATTTAATGAAACGTCTAAGTTACCGCGCTTCGCGCGGGAGGCCTTTTACCCATCCCCTCCCCCACGCGCGCTATTTAAGTGATTCGCTTGCTCAATACCGCCCCTCTCTAAAATAAGATCCTAGCTACGCACCTGCGTTTAAATATATAGCTATGATGCTAACTAAGTTGACGAAATAATTTGTATATTTATGTCGTCGACGAAAATGACCATTTGCGCAAAACAATTTAGCCTTCGCATGATCATTTTTTGTGATAGTTTCCTTCTGCATTTAATTTTGTTGCTGTTATGAGTTTATATTCATATTTTTGTTATCAAACAGGAATAAATAAATGAATATATAAATACATTTGTACAATACGATTTGTACGATAGTTGTACAATGATGATAGAAGAACCAATGAAAATCGCAACTGATCTTCCCTAATTCTTTTCCCCCTTTTCTTTTCTTCCTCTTTGTTTTCTGTCCCTTTCTCTCCTCTTTCCCTTTCTTTCTCTCTCTCTCTTTGCTGAGGGGGGGGGGGGGGGGGGGGGGGAGGGTACACATCGGGAAAATTGCAACTGATCTCCCCTACCTTTCTTCTTCCTCTTTTTTCCCCTTTCCCTTCCCTTACTTCTCTCTCTCTCTCTCATTTAACTTTAATGAGGGAGGCAGGGGCCTTTCGCCCCCTCCCCCGATTCATATGATGTTGGTGGGATTAATTGCAACTGATCTCTGCTTCTTTTTACCCTTTTCTTTACTTCTTCCTCTTTTGTGTTCCATTTTAGCTCTCCTCTTTCCCTTTCCCTTCTTTCTCTCTTTTTTTTTTGGCGGGGAGGGGGGGGGGGGTGGTCGGGGGGGGGGGGGCAGAGGCAAGGGCCTTTCTCCGCGATCCACATCTTGTGTGCATGAAAATTGCAACTGATATCCCTTCTTTTCTTTTCTTCTTTTGGTTCTTTCCCTTTCCTTCCTTCTCTCTTGTTTTCCGGGGGGAGGCAACAGCATGGGCGGCAAGGCCCTTTCGACCCCCCACCGATCTCCTTCTTTTCCCCTTTTTCCTTTCTTCTTCCTTTCCTCTTCTCTCTTCTTTCCCTTTCCCTTCTTTTCTCTCCTTCTCTCTCTCTTTCTCTCTCTTTTTGTTTGCTGAGGGGCCAGGGGAGGGAAGGCGAAGGCCTTTTGCCCCCGATCCACACCGCGTTGGAGGGAAAAAACACAATTGATCTCCCGTACCTCTCTTTTCTTTCCCTTTTCCTTCTTTTCCTTTCTCTCTCTTTGAAGTTTGCTGTAGAAGGGGGGAGGCAAGAGCCATTTGCCGCCCCCCCCCCGATCCCCAACTTGTTCGCGGGAAAACTGCAACTGATATCCCTCTTTTTTTCTTTCCTTCCTTTTATCTCCTCTTTTCCCTTTTTTCTTTACCTTCTCTTCCTTCTCTTTTTCTTTTTGCTGGGGGGGGGGGGGCAACAGCCTGGGAGGCAAAGGCCTTTCGCCCCCGATCACCTTCTTTTCCCCTTTTCTTTTCTTCTTCCTCTTCTTCCTTTCCCTTACTCTCCGCTTTACCTTCTCTCTCTCTCTCTTCATTTTTTGTTGGCGGTTGGGGGTCAAGGCCCTCTCGCCCCCCCCCCCCACCCCCTGGATCCGCGCCGGGAAGACCAGTAGTGTCATCCCTAGCTAGCTGGCAAAGCTGAATATGGGTTATCCAGTCGTTTCATTCATTAAGTATAATTATACTTGTATTGAATATGTATACGTGTGGACTAGAGTACGGACATTCGGTGCGGCAGGCGGACTATTGGTGCGAGACCTCTTCCGCACAGATTGTCCGTCAGACATTTGAGACGCGCACGGAAAGTATGATTTTTGTATACATATCAAAGTAATATTTAGCACATTTAAGCTCAGTGTGTCTCGTGATTCAGCTTTGATGGCAGCCAATATATTTATTTTTA